TGAGAAAAATGTGTACTCCATTTTTTTTGGGTTTAGTGTTCTATAGATGTCTGTTAAGCCCAACTGCTCTAGGTCCTTATTTAGAGCTTTAGTTTCTTTACTTATTTTTTGTCTTGTTGATCTATCCATTGTTGATAGTGGTGTGTTGAAGTCTCCCACTACGTATGTGTTTTCTCTGATGCCTGTTTTCAGAGAGGACAACAGTTGTCTGTTATATTTTGGTGCTCCTTCGTTTGGTGAGTATATGTTAATGAGTGTTATTTCTTCTTGAAGTATTGTCCCCTTGATCATAATGTAGTGACCATTGGGGTCTCTTTTTATTTTTTTGCGTTTGAAGTCTGTTTTATCTGATATAAGTATAGCTGTTCCTGCTTTCTTTTTTGGTCCATTTGCTTGTAGGATTGTTTTCCATCCTTTAACTTTGAGCCTATTTTTATCTTTTGTAGCTAAATGTGTTTCCTGGAGACAGCAAAAGGTTGGGTTTTGTTTCTTAATCCAGCCTGCAACTCTGTGTCTTTTTATTGAAGAGTTTAGTCCATTTACATTTAGAGTTAATATTGATACGTTAGCATCTGTATTTGCCATTGTGTTTGTCTTTCCTTTCATTTTATTTATTTATTCTTTTAATAACTTTTTTTTTTTTTTGGTCTTCTTTCGTTGTTATTCGTCCCTCTGAGGTTCTGGCTTTAGGATTCCTTGTAGTATTTTTTGGAGTGGGGGTTTAGTCATAATGAAATTCCAGAGTTTCTCTTTGTCTGGGAAGGAGACATAGAGGAAGGAGAGCTTTGCGGGATAGAGTATTCTTGGTTGGCATCTGTTTTCTTGGAGTCTGTTGACTATGTCCCTCCACTCTCTCCTTGCCCGTAGTGTGTCTTCAGAGAAGTCTGATGTCAGCCTGATTGGTTTTCCTTTGAATGTTATCTGTTTCTTCCCTCTTGTCAGCTTCATTATTTTTCTTGTCCTGGATTCTTGGGAGCTTTACTATTATGTGTCTTGCTGTGTTTTTCCTTTCGTCGTGGAAGTTTGGTGTTCTTCTTGCTTCTTGTATATCAATTTTCAGCTCCTTCTTCGCATTTGGGAAGTTCTCTTCAATTATCTCCTGGAATATTTTCTCTGTTCCTACATCTCTCTCCTCTCCTTCTGGAATTCCTATAACTCTTATATTTCCTTTCCTCATGGAGTCAGATAGTTCCCGAAGTCTTTCTTCGTTCTTTTTCCTTCGTACTTCTCTTTCCTTTTCTGTTTTGGTTCTTTTTATTTCTGTGTCTTCAAGAGTACTTATTTGTTCTTCCATTTCATCTATTCTGCTTTCATTGCTTTTCCCAGAGTTCTTTAGTTCCTCCATTAATTCTTTGATCTCTTGCATTTCTTTTACTTCCCTCTTTAGGGACTCAATTTCATTCTTCTGACCATTGTTTTCCCTCTTTAGGGACTCAATTTCCTTCTTCTGATCATTGTTTTCCTTTATGACTTCTGTCACTTTTTTAATCAGGGAAATTTTAAATTCTCTTTCTGGAAGGCTCAGAAGTTCTTCCAAGTTACTGTCGTTGCAATCTGGAGGGTGGTTTTCTTTTTGTGGTGTGCTTCTTTCCTGAGGCGTTGTTAGGTTGCTTGTGGTTCTTCTACTCCCTACTGTCTGTTTTCTAATTTGTCGTATGCATTGGGACACTGTGTTGCTCGGACTGGCCGTCATCTTGGGTGAACTTCTCCGCTCCCCTCTGGCTCCTCCAGGAACCATCTCTGGCTTCTGGGGGAGCTTTCTGCTGGTTTTAGGCAGTCTTTACTGAAGAAATGTCCCTGTTCTAAACTGGCGAAGCGGGACGCAGTCCCTGCGCATCCGGTCTCAGGCACACTCTTCTGCGTGCCCGGTCTGCCCCGGACGTGGGTGCCTGCTCCCTCTGTGGGCTCAGACTGCTGGTTGGAAGGGGCCTGGCATGGGCTAACTTCCCAGCTGGCCACTGGGTCCTCCAGAAGCCTTCTGCCCTTTTCAAGAAGTCTTAAGAAATTTCCCTGTTCTATGGGGTGTTAGTGACTTTTTTTCTGGTCGCTAGGTGGCACCAGAGATCTCTCCTATTGTCCTTGGGGGGCTGTTTTTCAACCCCCCCCACCCCTGTGGGACAGGGACCAGAGAGCGAGAATCGTAGGGTAAACCTCAACGGCTTTGGGGTGCTGTGTCTGCCTTGTGCCCCACCATCGTGGAGAACCCACGCCCAGAATTTCGTGCCCCGGGTCTCAGTTGAAAGCCCTCAGGTCCAGGACGCGGGCTGTAGCCCAGTTCAGTGGCGCGGGAATGGCACCTTTTGCACCTGCTCCCGTGCCTGGGCGCCTGGTTCCTGCTTACTCAGTGAGGGACTTTCACCCCCGTGAGGGCCTCCGCGCGTCTCCCCGCAAGCCTAGGTCACAGGCGCGGGGACCTGGGCAGCCGTGATCCCGGTCCGCGTTTGCTTTTCAAGCGCGCCTCTTTTCCGCGCAAGCTTACCCGGCCGGCCCGGGGCTGTGTGCGGGTCTCCTCCAGAGTCTCTTTGTTCTTCTCTAATGGCGCCCGGAGCCGTTCGCTCACCGCAGCAGCGAATCCTGCAGGGTTCTCCACAGCTCCCAGTTCACGGGGTGTGGTGGCTGTAATAGTTCCTTTCCACTCACAGTCCTGCTTGCTGCGTAGTTTGTTCTTGTTGGTCGTTTTAGTTTGTTGTTTTCCTCCTCTCTGCTGGTCGGCGAGTGCCGACTCTGTGGGTGGGGGAGGGGAGCAGGGTTCTGCGCTTTCCTCCCTTCTAGTCCTCTTTTATGGCAACTTTCTTCTTCGGGCAGTTTGCTGGCGTCACCCGTTTATCTTCCGTGTCCCACTTCTCACTGGGACCTGCCGCTTTTCCTCCCTATTAACTTTTTTTAATGGGAGATCTTACTCCCAGCGTCTCCTCGCCGCCATGTTGCTCCGCCCCCTCAAAATACCTCAGTTTATTCTTATTTCACTGTGAAAACATGTCTGATGTCATGGTGTGAACATTTCATCTAGGTTGAGAGTTTCCTAAGGGGAGAGTATGTATTTTTATATTTATTTTCTCTTTGTCCAGTATGGTGAGTGACACATAACAGATATTAAATATCTGACATTTTCAGTGGTTTCATCAGATACTAAGTAACAACAGTGGGTAGGCTCTTCGTCTGTTTACCAAAATTTGTAATCAAAATGACTACATTATATCATGAAACTCTGGTACCTACAAATAGCATGCTCATGCAGAGGGAAAAAGCATTATCAAACTCATAGCTTATAAAGAATATGATAATATTTTTAAGTGGGCAAGGATAAATGGATGAGAGCACTTATGACCAAAGAGGCCAAGAGAATCTTCCCGAGGACTGTAAGGATGAAGATGCTGGCTTTGTTATAATCCGCTTGGAGCAAAGTAGTTGGGGAAGCTCCATCCCTGAGCCCAAAATAAATTAATGGTTGGTAAGTACAGCTTTATACTGCAGGAATGTGCACAAAAAAATCCACAAAATATAGTACTTATAAGTTTAAATATGTTTCATTCATTTTCGGTCATGAATAGCTTTAAATACTCAAGAAAGTTAAAATACTCCAATTAAAAACATCTTATGTATAAAGTACTGATTCAATGGCACTACAAACATTGCTATAGTAAGAAATTATTCTATAGTTCCATGTCATTATGGAGAGCATTAGGGGATAGGTGTAAACTCTTTAAAGAGCTGGCTTAGAGCAAATCTAATACATGTAATCAGAAAAAATAAAACTGGCTAAGCAAATATTCCAAATAATTATTGATCTTGACTTGACAGATGATCAGTAGTCTATAGACAAAGACTTAAATCAAATATCCTAAGGATAGCCTAAGGATCATCTGTACAACATCTATGTGGGACAGAGTCTATAAAAATTCTGAGAGAATAAAATCAAAGTTAGTAAAGACCTGGGAAAATTGTATTGTAAGGTCCATATAGTTATGTTTTGTGAAGTGCCATTTAATGGCTCTACAGTTTATAGACATTTCCCTTTGCTGTCCTGGTATCACAGAGCATCAATTCATGTGTAACAGAATTTCAGAGTTTAATGATTAAGATCAATTTGTATTTATGAAAAAAAGATTAGGAAGGCACAGGATGTAAACAAGTTTTTTTCAATCAGGCTTTTGCTTCCAAAAAATAATGGTATTTTTTTCATCTTATTTTCAATCTATTTTAAGCTGTTGAGTAATTTAGGAAGTAGTGATGAAGGATAAGACAATTATAGAAGACTGAGGTCAGCAGAGATTTGTGAATCTGGTTTATTAATTATAAGGTAGAATAGTATATTTATATTTATTGAGCTTATGTTTTTAGGTCAGGTAACTCCTGGCTACAAATAGTCAGGTGTTTGAAAACATAATAGAAGATATAGTAGGTTGAATAATTGCTAGCCAAAGATATGAAGTACTAATTCCTGGAATTTGTGAACATTACTTTATTTGGAAAAGAAGTTCCTGCACACAAGATAAAGTGCTTTGAGATAAGATTACTCTGAATTCTCTAACTGGGTCCTAAATCTCATCAATGTCCTTAAAAGAGAGGCAGAGAAAAATGAACACACAGAAGAGGAGAGACAAACACAGGGAAGGCAATATGAGGAAGGAGGTAGAGAACACAGTATCATGGCTACCAGCTCAGGAATGCCATCTGACAGTAGAAGCTGGAAGAACCAAGGAATGGATTCTCTCCCAGAATCTATGGAGGAAAAGTGGCCCTACTGGATTCCGGAGTTCTAGTCGCTAGAAATATAACAGAATAAATTCCTGTTGTTTTAAACCACCAAGTTTATGGTAATTTGTTTCCATAATCTCAGGAAACTAATATAGAAGACACTGAAAACTTGGGAGCCCTATATAGGCATTTACCTTAATGGTAATGTTTGTTATATATTACAAAGATGTCTTTTTATATGTGATAAACCATACCAACTTCCCATCCCAGTATGAATGAATTCTTTTAGCAGTTTTACTTACCTATTCTAGAAATATTTTCATCAAGACCATTCAATTTTTGATCAAGAATGGCTGAATGAGATTCCAAGTTGCTCATATATGCCTGATATTTTTGAACATCTGCTTGTAAAGAAGCTTTCAGTTTTCTTAATGACTCTAGGCGGTTCTTTAAAAGAAAAAAGTTATTTTCATTAAGTAAAGCAGTATTATTTAAGTTCATATCAGAGAAAGGTAAATTAGTTTTCCTTCCACTTTTAGAGGTAGTCAACAGAACTAAAGGGGACTTTACTGTTAGAAAAAGTACAAACATTTAAAAATCTAGGCTGTTTACAGACAGCCTAGATGCTTCAGTAATACACATAATGAAATTAGAAATCTGGATATTATCACTTAACTTTTAAAAAGTCCTGAGACTACATTTTAAAAGTTCATTTAATAACACTCCCTTTCCACTAAATGCAAAACTCAGAGCCTCTTCTAAGTAGTGTTCCCCAGAGGTATATAACACAGGCACCTTGTTCAAAAGATTATTTTGGTCTAACGTAAATAAGTAAGACTCTTTCATCATATTCTGAACACCACTAGTTCAAGAGACAGATCACAAGGGAAAACAAAGCTCCAGAGATACCAAACATGTTTTCATTGGGAGTTCTACTCCATGTTAAAATAAAAATTGTTTTTTAAGAAGCTTATTTTGTTAATCTATCTTATATTCTGATAAGGAAATAACTGGTATTTTCTAAGAAGACTCGAGTCTAAAAGATAAAAGAGTTAAGTAAGTATATAAGCCTACTGAAGATAAAAACATTTACTAACCGGTTCTTTTTCTCTTTCTTGCTCCAATCTTGCAATTTGTTCATTTAGTGCTTTGTTTTTTGCTGCTAATGATTCCAGCTTGGAAGTATCTACATTAAATAAATCCTCTGGAGACAAAACCCAAAAGTTTAATAAGATCTCAAATCTGCCTAGAACATTCTTTCCTAGGTTTTCACTATTGCTCTCTCCCTTGCTTCCTTCTGGTCTCTCCTCAAACAGGTGTCAGTGCAAGACATCCCTCCCAATATAAAACTGCAAGTTCTTCCTTTTCTTCCACTATACTCTCTACCTCCTTACCCAGCTCTGTTATTATCATTAGCATGTATAACCATTTAACTTATAGTTGTTCATTTGATTGTCTCTAATGGAATGTAAATGCTCATAAGGTTTTTTAGCTCTTATTAATTACTATATTCTTGTGCTTAAATGGTGGCTGGCACACAGTAGGCATACAATAAATAAATGTTGAATAAATACATTTATATGCTTGCTTAATTATAAACAGAAATATCAAAGAACCTACTAGCTGCTTTCTGTATTAAATTATGATGAATTTTCCTCTTTCAAAATGAAAATCATTCATAGTGCTCTTTTTCTCATGTGGACAAACTGAAATTGTCCTAGTTATTTTTTTTTTTAAAATGGGTTTTTAAAAATAATTAATTTTTCACTGAGGTAATTATTATCACCACACAGCAGCCACCACCAACTCACCCATATTCCACTACCATAGACCACTGTGTTCTTCTGTGTTCTTCCTCCTTCCCCAGTTCTGTAGTCAGCTATCAAGAGTCAGATGACTCTCGTTAGCTTGTCTTTCTCTGACTATTAACTTAGATACTGGATGGTGTCACTAATATGTCCTGGTTATTCTTAAGGAAGGTATATACAATGAGAACTGAAGGGAATACGGCTATCTTTTTGCTAACAGTGGCAAAGTGATATTTTCTTGTTTTGAGTGATCCCATTATCTCTGCAAGAACACACCTTAGATTTATTTATTTTACTTACCACTTTGGCACGTTATATACAAGACTATTTCAACAGAAAGTAAAATAATGCAAAATAATGTTTTTGGGGCACTTTAGCCAATAAATATCTAATGTAATTTAGACTATAGTTAAGTGAAAAAATAAAGAATTTCTTTCTTTGGAAATATAATGCCCCATTAATTTTTTTCCCACAAAATTTGAAAGAAATATTAAATTTTTTTGACTAACTAGTACTTTAACATCTCAAACAGTAAAGAAAGGATATCATAGGGATATTATTCCCCAAGAGGAATAATATTTGCTGACTATCTGCTCTGCTTCTGGTAGTGTGAATTATTTTACATATACTGCTACCTAATGTCATAAAACTTCATTAGACAGGTCATGTATTTTGTAAAAGTTTACATAGCCAATAAAAAAACTATGCCTCAAGTCTGACTCCAACACCAGTATTCCTTCTGCTTAGCTATTATTTCTCTCCACCAAAGAAACTATGATGATAAAAATCAATAAGCATCTAAAGGGAGTAGTTCACATAAACATTGGGTAAGGTAAGATATGATGAAACTCCATGAGCAATGTTAACTAAATGACGAAACGCAAACACACTAGGAATAAGAATACTTACTCAACTTTGACTGCAATTCTGCATTCATCTCTTCAAAGCTGTCAGCACCAGTCATGAAACTCTCATAGCATTTTATCGTATAGTCCAAAAATAACTGATTGGATTAAACAGATTTGAAAAATAAAACCATGATTTCCTATTTAGTTTGCTTCAATTTTCTAAGTGGAAATTAAAATTTGAATTAAAATAATAAAGGATAGGAATACTAGAGATCTCAAACTATAGTATGCCATTGATAATGCTATAGAACTCAGTCGCTACTTCTAATGTGTGAGGATAAAAAGAACTTAAAATTCCGATAAAGATGATACATAGTTAACAGCAAAAATAACCATACCTTCAGAATTTTGAGAAGGTCAAACAAGGAAGCTTATTAGCAAATATAATTAAACGTAACATGTACAATTATCTTTAGGAATAATCTACCGTATGAAAACTATAAATGTAATGCTGATTATCTAAGCTCAATTAAACTGACAAGATCTAGTTGTGAAAACCAGAATGTAATTAATGATGGCTCTAATTACATTGTAACTTCACACTACAAAATGGTATGACTAGTAGAGATGTAAACAGTAGAATACTAGAATTATTAATAATTGTCTGAGAAAGCAACATTGTTTTTTGTAGTTATGAGGTGTTTTGGTCAGTGAGGATGCACATTTCATTAGGAGGCAAGAATGGCTGGAAATAATTTTCCATAGTCTAGATGAAATAAATTATCCCTCAAGACAAACCAATTACCTTTGTGCTGATTCTCTGCTTACTAACCAACCTTCTTATTACTTGGTAGATATGGAAGATAAACTCTGAATAGGAAGTATGAATATTCTTGTGACTGAAAAGATGACCTAAACCTTTGTCAATTAAACTAAAATTGAGATTAAAATGAGCTTCTGGAACCACAAAGCTAAAGATCAGAATCTGGTGAAGCTGGATGCTGTATGCTAGAAGATGTTAATGCATAATCTCAAAATTATAAATGTATTCCTTGAAATTGGTATTTGTTCCATTTGGAGATATGTGTATTTTAGTAAATAGTGTGAGGTTAGTTATATAATTTAGGCTCCAATAAAGTATAATGTGGGAACTAATTTGGACCATTTGTTTACTTTTAATCATTTCTGAATCTGAGTGGCAATATAACTGACTGAAAAGGTCAATACAAAACAAACTAAAATATAATATTTAAAACCCAATCTATTATGCTTTGTATTGACAAAGAATTATATGAAAGTAACTTTGCCAGTATTGACATCTTCATTATAAAGATGGGGAAGAAAAAAAATGTTGCATTTATAACATAATAATAACATGTTATGACTTAATTCCAATTTCTTTGTATTTGTTACTTAGTAAACATTTTCAAATTTCTCAGTAGTTTATTTTAGAAAATTATAATATGACTCCAAGAGTAGGTCTATAGACATTAAAAAAATCAATTTCTGAAGATTTTTAGAAATTCAAATATATATATTAATTTCAATCCTGACACATTTAAATAATAGAAAGATAATTTTAACATTTATGGTAATATAAGATACCTTATTATGCATAATTCCATCTTCGGTTTCTTCTCCCCAAGGCTGTCCATCATCAAATAAAGGTGAGCTTTCTTTCATGGCATTATGTAACTAATTAGTACACACGGAACAGATGAAGTTGATTAAGTTGATGTGAGTCAGATGACTCTCGTTAGCTTGTCTTTCTCTAACTATTAACTTAGATACTGGATGGTGTCACTAATACATCCTGGTTATTCTTAAGGAAGGTATATACCATGAGAACTGAAGGGACTACGGCTATCTTTTTGCTAACAGTGGCAAAGTGTTATTTTCTTGTTTTGAGTGATCCCATTGACCTCATGTTTTATCAAATTCCTTTTTAGTGTCATTTTAAGAAGTATTTACAGGAGGGGGGCGGAGCAACATGGCGGCGAGGAGACGCTGCGAGTAAGATCTCCCATTAAAAAAAGTGAATAGGGAGGAAAAGCGGCAGGTCCCAGTGAGAACTGGGACACGGAAGATAAACGGGTGACGCCAGCGAACTACCCGAAGAAGAAAGTGGCCATAAAAGAGGACTAGAAGGGAGGGAAGCGCAGAACCCTGCTCCCCTCCCCCGCCCACAGAGGCGGCACTCTCCGACCCGCAGAGAGGAGGAAACAACAAACCAAAACGGCCCACAAGAACAAACGACGCAGCAAGCGGGACTGTGAGTGGAAAGGAACTATTGCAGCCACGACACCCCGTGAACGGGAGCTGAGGCGAACCCTGCAGGATCCGCCGCGGCGGTGAGCGAACGGCTCCTGGCGCCATTAGAGAAGAACAAAGACCCCGGGAGACGCGCACACAGCCCGGGCTGCCGGTAAGCTGGCGCGGGAAAGCGGCGCGCTCGGCGCGCTTGAAAAGCAAGTGCAGACCGGAATCGCGGCTGCCCAGGTCCCCGCGCCTGCGACCTAGGATTGCGGGGAGACGACCTAGGCTTGCAGGGAGACGCACGGAGGTCCTCACTGAGGTGAAGGTCCCTCCCTGAGTGAGCAGGAACCAGGTGCCCAGGCACGGGAGCGGTGCAAAAGGCGCCATTCCCGCACCACTGAACTGGGCTACAGCCCGCGTCCTGGAACTGAGGGCTTTGAACTGAGACCCGGGGCACGAAAATTCGGGGCGTGGTTTCTCCACGACGGTGGGGCACAAGGCAGACACAGCACCCCAAAGCTGTTAAGGTGTACCCTACCATTCCCGCTCTGTTCTCTGTCCCACGGGGTGGGGGGAGGCGAAAAACAGCCCCCCAAGGACAATAGGAGAGATCTCTGGCGCCACCTAGCGACCAGGAAAAAAAAAGTCACTAACACCCTATAAAACAGGACATTTCTTAAGGCTGCTTGAAAAGGGCAGAAGGTTTCTGGAGGACCCAGTGGCCAGCCGGGAAGTTATTCCACGCCAGGCCCCTTCCGACCAGCAGTCTGAGCCCACAGAGGGAGCAGGCACCCACGTCCGGGGCAGACCGGGTGCGCAGAAGAGTGTGCCTGAAACCGGAGGCGCAGGGACTGCATCCCGCTTCGCCATTTGAGAACAGGGACATTTCTTCAGTAAAAACTGCCTAAAACCAGCAGAAAGCTCCCCCAGAAGACAGAGATGGCTCCTGGAAGAGCCAGAGGGGAGCGGAGAAGTTCACCCAAGATGTCAGTCAGTCCGAGCAACACAGTGTCCCAACGCATACGACAAATTAGAAAACAGACAGTAGGGAGTAGAAGAACCACACGCAACCTAAAAACTCCTCAGGAAAGAAGCACACCACAAAAAGAAAACCACTCCCCAGATTGCAACGACAGCAACTTGGAAGAACTTCTGAGCCTTCCAGAAAGAGAATTTAAAATTGCCATGATTAAAAAAGTGATAGATCAGAAGAAGGAAATTGAGTCCCTAAAGAGGGAAGTAAGAGAAATGCAGGAGATCAAAGAATTAATGGAGGAACTAAAGAACTCTGGGAAAAGCAATGAAAGCAGAATAGATGAAATGGAAGAACGAATAAGTAATCTTGAAGACACAGAAATAAAAAGAACCAAAACAGAAAAGGAAAGAGAAGTACGAAGGAAAAAGAATGAAGAAAGACTTCGCGAACTATCTGACTCATGAGGAAAGGAAATATAAGAGTTATAGGAATTCCAGAAGGAGAGGAGAGAGATGTAGGAACAGAGAAAATATTCATGGATATAATTGAAGAGAACTTCCCAAATGAGAAGAAGGAGCTGAAAATTGATATACAAGAAGCAAGAAGAACACCAAACTTCCACGACGAAAGGAAAAACACAGCAAGACACATAATAGTAAAGCTCCCAAGAATCCAGGACAAGGAAAAAATAATGAAGCTGACAAGAGGGAAGAAACAGATAACATTCAAAGGAAAACCAATCAGGCTGACATCAGACTTCTCTGAAGAAACACTACGGGCAAGGAGAGAGTGGAGGGACATAGTCAACAGACTCCAAGAAAACAGATGCCAACCAAGAATACTCTATCCCGCAAAGCTCTCTTTCCTCCATGAAGAAAGAATATGGACCTTCCCAGACAAAGAGAAACTCCGGAATTTCATTGCGACTAAACCCCCACTCCAAAAAATACTACAAGGAATCCTAAAGCCAGAACCTCAGAGGGACGAATAACAACGAAAGAAGACCAAAAAAAAAAAAAAAAGTTATTAAAAGAATAAATAAATAAAATCAAAGGAAAGACAAACATAATGGCAAATACAGATGCTAACATATCAATATTAACTCTAAATGTAAATGGACTAAACTCTTCAATAAAAAGACACAGAGTTGCAGCCTGGATTAAGAAACAAAACCCAACCTTTTGCTGTCTCCAGGAAACACATTTAGCTACAAAAGATAAAAATAGGCTCAAAGTCAAAGGATGGAAAACAATCCTACAAGCAAATGGGCCAAAAAAGAAAGCAGGAACAGCTATACTTATATCAGATAAAACAGACTTCAAACTCAAAAAAATAAAAAGAGACCCCAATGGTCACTACATTATGATTAAGGGGACAATACTTCAAGAAGAAATAACACTCATTAACATATACTCACCAAACGAAAGAGCACCAAAATATATCAGACAACTGTTGTCCTCTCTGAAAACAGACATCAGAGAAAACACATATGTAGTGGGAGACTTCAACACACCACTATCAACAATGGATAGATCAACAAGACAAAAAATAAGTAAAGAAACTAAAGCTCTAAATAAGGACCTAGAGCATTTGGGCTTAACAGACATCTATAGAACACTAAACCCAAAAAAAACGGAGTACACATTTTTCTCAAGCGCACACGGATCATTCTCCAGGATCGATCACATACTGGGGCACAAGACAAACATCAACAGATACACCAAGATTGAAATCATACCAACCATCTTTTCTGACCACGAAGGCATCAAACTAGAAATAAATCATAAAAAGAAGGCAAGGAACTATCCTACCTCATGGAGATTAAAAGCCACACTACTGGAAGACCACTGGACTAACGAGGAGATCAAAGAAGAAATTAAAAAATTCTTTGAATTGAATGACAAGGAGGACACCAATATCCTAAATGTATGGGATGCAGCAAAAGCAGTAATAAGAGGAAAATATATAGCAATAGAAGCTCACATCAAAAAACAAGAAAGAACTCAAAGAAACAACCTAATCTCGAAGCTCAAAGATCTAGAAAAAGAACAACAAAAAAACCCCAGAACCAGTAGAAGAAAAGAAATAATAAAAACCAAAGCAGAAATAAATGAAATTGAAACTAAAAAAACAATCCAAAAGATCAATGAAACCAAGAGCTGGTTCTTTGAAAAAATAAATAAAATAGACAAACCCCTAGCCAGGCTCACAAAGGAAAAAAGGAGAAAGCACAAATACACAGAATCATAAATGAAAGAGGAGAAATCACAACGGACACAGCAGAAATCAAAAGAATAATCAGTAACTACTATGAACAGTTATATGGAAACAAGTTCAACAATCTAGAGGAGATGGACAAATTCCTACAACTCTACAATCACCCAAAGCTAGATAAAGAAGAAATAGAACACCTAAACAGACCAATTACAAGCAGCGAAATTGAAATGGTAATTAAAAACCTCCCCAAAAACAAAAGCCCAGGACCTGATGGATTTACAAATGAATTCTACCAAACATTCAGAGACGAATTAGTGCCTATCCTTCACAAACTCTTCCAAAAAATTGAGAAGGAAGGGACAATACCAAACACGTTCTATGAAGCCAATATTACACTAATACCAAAACCGAATAAGGACAACACAAAAAAGGAAAACTATAGGCCAATCTCCCTAATGAACACTGATGCAAAAATCCTCAATAAAATTTTAGCTATCAGAATCCAACAATGTATCCATAAGATAATTCACCACGACCAAGTTGGATTCATTCCAGGGGCACAAGGATGGTTTAACATCCGAAAATCAATCAACGTTATCCAACACATCAACAAAAAGAAATATAAAAACCATATGATAATATCAATAGATGCTGAGAAAGCTTTCGACAAAGTGCAACACCCATTCATGATAAAAGCCCTTGAAATTCTTGGGATACAAGGAACATACCTCAACATCATAAAGGCCATCTATGACAAGCCAACAGCCAGTATCATTCTCAATGGTGAAAAGCTGAAAGCAATTCCATTAAGATCTGGAACAAGACAAGGATGTCCACTCTCACCACTGCTTTTCAATATAATACTGGAAGTCCTAGCCAGAGCAATAAGACAAGAGAAAGACATCCAAGGAATCCAAATAGGAAAAGAAGAAGTCAAACTATCACTATTTGCAGATGATATGATAATATACATAGAGAACCCCAAAATCTCCACAGAAAAACTAATTCAACTCATCAATCAATTCAGTAAAGTGGCAGGATACAAAATCAACACGCAAAAGTCAGTAGCCTTCCTATACACAAACAATAAATCTGAAGAAGAAGAAATCAAAAAAACCACCCCTTTTATTATCGAAACAAAAAAAATCAAATATTTGGGAATAAATCTAACAAAAGAGGTAAAGGACCTATACAAAGAAAACTATAAAACACTGTTAAAAGAAATAGAAGAAGACACAAAGAAATGGAAAGACATCCCCTGCTCATGGATTGGAAGAATAAACATTATTAAAATGGCCATCCTACCAAAAGCAATATACAGATTCAATGCTATTCCAATCAAAATCTCAATGGCATTCTTCAAAGAAATAGAACAATTATTGATGAAATTCATATGGAATCACCAAAACCCCGAATAGCCAAAGCTCTACTGAAAAAAAAAGAAGGAAATGGAGGCATCACACGCCCAGACTTCAAACTATACTACAAAGCCATAATCATCAAAACTGCATGGTATTGGAACAAGAACAGACATACAGACCAATGGAATCGAATAGAAAATCCAGAAATAAACCCACAGATTTATGGTCAACTAATCTTTGACAAAGGAGCAAAGACTATGCATTGGAGCAAAGAAAGTTTGTTCAATAAATGGTGCTGGGAAAACTGGGTCGCTACATGCAAAAGAATGAAGCTTGACCACTACCTCACACCATACACAAAAATCAACTCAAAATGGATTAAAGAACTAGACATAAGACCTGAAACCATAAAATACATAGAAGGAAATATAGGCGAAACACTACGGGATTTGCACATCAAAGACATCTTTACAGACACATCACCCAAAGCAGTGATAGTGAAGAGAAAGATAAACAGCTGGGACTACATCAAATTAAAGAGCTTCTGCACAGCAAAAGAGACAATAACAAAAACAAAGAGAAACCCCACCAACTGGGAGAACATTTTTGCACCCAACACTAATGATAAAGGACTGATCACAAAAATCTGCAAAGAGCTGATGAGACTCAGCAACAACAAAGAAAATAATCCAGTCAAAAAATGGGCAGAAGAGCTAAAAAGAAACTTCTCTGAAGAGGAAATGCAAATGGCCAACAGACATATGAAAAAATGTTCAACATCACTTGTAATCAGGGAAATGCAAATCAAAACTACCATGAGATACCATCTCACACCAGTGAGAATGGCACATATTAAAAAAACTAGCAACAACAAATGTTGGCGAGGATGTGGAGAAAAAGGAACTCTTGTGCACTGTTGGTGGGAGTGCAAACTGGTCCAACCACTATGGAGAGCTGTGTGGAGATTTCTGGACCTACTAAACATAGAGCTTCCATATGATCCAGCAATTCCACTCCTAGGTATTTACCCAAAGGACACAGAAACATCAATTCCAAAGAGCACCTGCACTCCTATGTTTATAGCAGCACTGTTTACAATAGCTAAGCTTTGGAAACAACCCAAATGCCCAAAAATAGATGACTGGATCAAGAAGATGTGGTACATATATACCATGGAATATTACTCAGCATTCAAAAAAGATAAACACATGCAATTTGCAGCAACATGGATGGCACTGGAAGGGATCATGCTCAGCGAAATAAGCCAAAAAGAAAAAGAAAAATACCGGATGGTCTCACTCATAGCAGGAATCTAGAAAACTTAAATAAGGGACCAGGAAAATGAATATAAGAAAGTGAAAATCAAAATCAACAAAAAACTATGAACCAGAGACACTTTTTGGGAGGTGGGGGGCGGGAGGGGAAGGATTGGGGTCAGAATGGGGCGTTTGCAATTGTATGGGGGAATATAAAAATAAAATTTAATATTTAAAAAAAAAAAAAGAAGTATTTACATTAGTACACATATTAAAACTTACTAAGAGGTTAATTTATTGACCCCTAAAATATCTATTTGATATTACAATGACTAAATCTCTTTAGATTAGGGAAGGATGGGCTTTGTATTCAGTTTTGTTCTACAGAGGAAAAATACGCTGATCCTTATGGTGCTATCAGTCTATTGCGAGCACATATATAGAGTCCAGTGGAACTCTGAGAATCCAAAACAGGGTTACTCCATAAAAGGTGAATCAATAAATGTTATTTATTGATTATTCTCTCTCATATGACCTCAATTTCACTGCTCAAATGTTATTTACTAACTCAATGTATAAATATGTATTTTAGACCTGACTCTTTCAGTATGTAATATGAACTTTAGATTTTACTTAATACAAAATCTTCAAAAACACAATTACTTCAACTTAAAAGTTGAATAACATGATGTATTATGACAGATAATATATTATAACAGATATTTTAGCAAAATATTCATGTTTATAATTGATAAGCTAAAAGGAAAATGTGTAAAGGTTTTTTAAGGCACAGAAAGTCCATTTTGGAACATCTTTTTATAACTTAAAAATGTAACTGTTCAACATGAAAAAATTCAGAAAATTTAAATGAAACTGCTATAAAATGTAAAATATAAATGTATTAGTATAACAAATAGTAGGCTTCTATCAAAAGACTAGACATTAGGAGAAAATAAAAGGAGAATATGGTTTTCATTTAAAAGATTTCCTTAGATTTTCCTTATTGTAGGATGCATATATGGACTTTTGAGTGGGAAACGGTGCTCAGCCCAGAGCTGCTTGCATTATCTACCTCTTTCCTATTCTAAAAACACTCATAAGACAATGTAGGACTAGAGTGGATGCTGGCAAACTGTGTCAACTTGTTTTCTATCTTTTCTTCCTTTGATAAGATCTCAAGTGCCAAAGAGATTTAATCAAGTCTGAAAGACACACAATGCAGAACCCAAGAGGAAGAATAGCATCTAATACCTTGTCATCAGGGTAGATAAACAGAGTTTCCGTTGCCTTAGAAAAGGTCCCTGTGAAAACTCTTGCTACTCTGCAAGGTCCAAGGTCCAAGGTCCTATAAATATGTATATTTATAGATACTGGGGAAAACAGATCCCCAGGAGCTATAGGAAAGACTCTCCTGCAAGGACTAAAAAATTTTCTAATCTGAGGAGATTTGATTAAAACAGTTTCAACCTGAAATTGTATACAGATAAGCAGATGTATGAACTTAGTTATCTTTTTTTAGCTATAGTTGGTATCTTCTAATATAAGATTACTTCTCATTATTGTGGAATATAAAAGAGTAGAAGAGAACTCAGAGGGATCTGAGATGAGTAAGGTTCTAGTCCATTCTGATCATTAACTAAAAAGGCTATGATGTTGCTCTCAGTATACGCATCCTCTCATTCCTGCTCTCCAGAAAAGGAGACAAGGTAACCGGCAAAGAACCTATTACTCAAACACTATAACAAACACCTATAACATGCCATGCTCCAAGAAGTATAGTGATATGTACATCAATGTAATACTATTTGGTCATAGAAAAGGAATTCCTGCTATGTGCAACAAAATAGATGGACCTTGAGGGTTTATGCTCCTATTCTAAGAGACGTAAGTCAGACAGAGAAAGACAAAATTCAAAATCGTCTATAAGTCAGACAGAGAAAGACAAAAAAACTGATGTAGACTTTGAGAAAACAGGCAAAAGTAAGACTGGAGGAGAAACAAAATATCTTGGGGGGGGGGATGTTTCCTATGTATATATTTAAAAAACAACAAATCAAGTACCTTGATGCAATCTATTAGCCAAACCAAGGCTGCCACTATGTGAGGCCATGTATGAGGGGCCCCCACTGTATACATGGAGCTTTTGGATAGTGCAAAAGGATACCTATGAAAAATTAGAACAAATAATTATCTTAAAGTACATGGATAAATTAAGCAAAAGTTACATTAAAAAATTCACATATCAATCAACAGTCTTACTTACGTAGAAGTTACTGCTGAGATTCTGTCTTAGTCATCTTATTCTACAGTGATTTGTTATTTTTGGTTTCTTCTCTGAAAATTAGTTTGTATATATACTCCATAGATGAATTTGATTTACAACCAGTATGCTAGATTTCTCTAAAACATCTTTTGTTGCTTCAAATTCAATGTATCCCAAATAAATAACATATATGTAATCATTTTCCCCTATGCAGTCCTTTTCAACTTTCTCTCACCCCATTTTTACCAGGCTCCCAATCCTATCTTTTTTGCTTTTATAAAATTTATGTTACCCAGTTCATCCTTTCTATTCTTTGTCACTGTAGCAGCTCAGGGCCTTATAATCTATCATCTGTAGTTTGGTAATAACCTCCAAAAATCAAATTTTTAGACTTTTCAATTTGCCCTAATTATGTTGCCCACAATGACCATCTTTAAATATCTCTCTGTAAGACAGTCCTTACAAATTTAATTAACCTAATTATTCTCTGCTTCAACAATATCTCTAGGCTAATGAGAAATATAACATACAAACCCAAGCTCTTTAAAGATTCTTGGAACCTCTTCTTCAAATTTTGTGTCAGGAAGTTCATAGGAAGGGCACAGGAAGCCATAAAGAAAACTGAAGATCTTTAGGAAATCTTTAACAGATGGAGCTTGTAGAGATTTCATGGACACACTATATGCATAACCATTTTCTGTAAGAAACTAAATTTTTGAAATGTCATTTAATAATAGAAAAAATATTGGAAAACACTTAAAAGAACTCCTACACTTTAGACTATTTAAGATAATAAAATACCTCACAAAGTTGTCGAATACACTGCTGAATGAATGCTTTGTCATTAAGAGGTCTTGGGTCCTTGATTTTTTCAGAACTGGAAAATATACCAAGTTGACTATTCCGGGATCCATGTCCACTGGTTCTAGAAATACATTTTTAAAAAGTTAGTCAAAACTATTTCTTTAACTATTACAAGGTGAGTTTATATTTTAATGCCAGCACAGAACATTAAAATTTAATTCTTTTTTATTTAACTAGTCAGAATTCTTATTCAAAGCAGAGACATGAGCATACATAAAATGAAGAGTAAACTATAAAATGACTATCTAATAAAAAGACACATTGGTTCTTGGCATTACTAAGACATACAACATCCTCTAAGTTGTGTATTTTGAGTCCACTAGATCTTCTGTAACAGCCACTGAGTCTATTCAATAACCGAAGTCCTCTTGCCATCTTCTCTACCTCTCCATTATTGCTCCTTCATGTTTAACGCCTCGCTTTACTGTTATTTCTTGTGGGAAAATGGCCTTTGAGATGTTAAAGTAGGTAGTGCATGCTTTTTCTCATACACATTTTTGTGTCATGCTATATTGTGCATTAGATTGTCATTTGCCATAATTATATGTTGCCACTTTTTAGTCATTAATGGCTACAGCATATACGCTTCATTCCCAGCCCCTGCCCCTGAAATAAAACCTTAATTAAATCTCTATAATAGTTATTTCAGCTGACCTATGAGTTCATCTAAGGTAACCACTGCAGTTTCTTAAATTCCTTGGAACAAATGTAATTTTACTTATTGGACAGATATCACAAAACTGTGTTAACAAACCTTACTATCATATCTGAACTCTAGTCACCAAAATTTCATTTCTCTCTGCAAGTTTGCTTGTTGCTTTCAAGTTCTTTCCTGTCAGGCTTGAAAAATTCCTTAAACTGGACTCTCTCACTCTACTGTCCCAATTAGCAAATTAGCTATTTTTTTCCCTGAGTATTTGATAATTTGAGAACCACTTTTCTACATACTGTTATTGCTTAACCTTTATTTTTTTTTTTATCAAATACAAAAAGGAATACAAGTATATACTTAGCTCAGATAAAATTACACTGACACCTTTTTAAATTACAAGAGAATTTCTGAACAATCATTCAACTTATAGTTTATGAGTATAGGAACTAGAACCAGAATGTGTGGTTTCATTTATTTCTGTACACTACCTGTTGTATGACTTTGGATAAATTAATTAACCCCTTGTTCTTCCATTTCCTTATCTAATGGAGATAATAGCACTTACTCATAGGGTAGCTCAGATGATTGATGAATTAAGACAGATAAGGCATTTATAACTGGCTTATAAAATTACTCATCAGACGTACAATTTTATAATCATTATCATCATCTCTGAAGTTCAGCTCTGTGATAAAAGTTATATCACAAAAATATCTTAATTTTTCATCAAATGAAACAAGTACCAGAAACAATTTAACTTGATTTCATGGCAAAGAGTTTCATTAGGTAACAAATACTTCATCTCTAAATATTTTCAAAACAATTGAACAAACAGGTCAATACAAAATAAAAACTTGTATTTTCTTTTTGTAAGTTAAAAGAGCAGTCTATTTTGTCATTTTTGGGGCTGAACATTTCTTAAAAAATCAACTTTACTAAGGATGGAAAACAATTCTACAAGCAAATGGACCAAAAAAGAAGGCAGGAACAGCTATACTCATACCAGATAAAACAGATTTCAAACTTAAAAAGATAAAAAGAGACCCCAGTGGTCATTACATTATGATCAAGGGGACAATACTTCAAGAAGAAATAACACTCATTAACATATATTCACCAAACGAAGGAGCACCAAAATATATCAGACAACTATTGGCATCTCTGATAACAGACATCAGAGAAAACACATACGTAGTGGGAGACTTCAACACACCACTATCAACAATGGATAGATCAACAAGACAAAAAATAAGTAAAGACACTAAAGCTCTAAATAAGGATCTAGAGTGCTTGGGCTTAACAGACATATATAGAACACTAAACCCCAAAAAATCTGAGTATACATTTTTCTCAAGGCACACGGATCATTCTCTAGGATCGATCATATACTGGGGCACAAGACAAACATCAACAGATACACCAAGATTGAAATCATACCAACCATCTTTTCTGACCATGAAGGCATCAAACTAGAAATAAACCATAAAAAGAAGGCAAGGTACTCTCCTACCTCGTGGAGATTGAAACCCACACTACTGGAAGTCCAATGGACTAATGAGGAGATAAAGAAGAAATTAAAAAATTCTTTGAATTGAATGACAAGGAGGACACCAATTTCCTAAATGTATGGGATGCAGCAAAAGCAGTAATAAGAGGAAAATATATAGCAATAGATGCTCACATCAAGAAACAAGAACTCAAAGAAACAACCTAATCTCGAAGCTCAAAGATGTAGAAAAAGAACAACAAAAAAACCCCAAAACCAGTAGAAGAAAAGAAATAATAAAAACCAAAGCAGAAATAAATGAAATCGAAACTAAAAAAACAATCCAAAAGATCAATGAAACCAAGAGCTGGTTCTTTGAAAAAATCAATAAAATAGATAAACCCCTAGCCAGGCTCACAAGGGCAAAAAGGGAGAAAGCACAAATAAATAGGATCATAAATGAAAGAGGAGAAATCACAACGGACACAGCAGAAATCAAAAGAATAATTAATAACTACTATGAACGGTTATATGGAAACAAGTTCAACAATCTAGAGGAGATGGACAAATTCCTACAACTCTACAATCACCCAAAGCTAGATAAAGAAGAAATAGAACACCTAAACAGACCAATTACAAGCAGCGAAATTGAAATGGTAATCAAAAACCTCCCCAAAAACAAAAGCCCAGGACCTGATGGATTTACAAATGAATTCTACCAAACATTCAGAGACGAATTGGTGCCTAGCCTTCACAAACTCTTCCAAAAAATTGAGAAGGAAGGGATAATACCAAACACGTTCTATGAAGCCAACATTACACTAATACCAAAACCGAACAAGGACAACACAAAAAAAGAAAACTATAGGCCAATCTCCCTAATGAACACTGATGCAAAAATCCTCAATAAAATTTTAGCTATCAGAATCCAACAGTGTATCCATAAGGTAATTCACCACGACCAAGTAGGATTCATTCCAGGGACACAAGGATGGTTCAACATCCGAAAATCAATCAACGTTATCCAACATATCAACAAAAAAAAATATAAAAACCATATGATAATATCAATAGATGCCAAGAAAGCATTCGACAAAGTGCAACACCTATTCATGATAAAAGCCCTTGAAATTCTTGGGATACAAGGAACATACCTCAACATCATAAAGGCCATATACGACAAGCCAACAGCCAGTATCATTCTCAATGGTGAAAAGCTGAAAGCATTTCCATTAAGATCTGGAACAAGACAAGGATGTCCACTCTCACCACTGCTTTTCAATATAATACTGGAAGTCCTAGCCAGAGCAATAAGACAAGAGAAAGACATACAAGGAATCCAAATAGGAAAAGAAGAAGTCAAACTATCACTATTTGCAGATGATATGATAATATACGTAGAGAACCTCAAAAACTCCACAGAAAAGCTAATTCAACTCATCAATCAGTTCAGCAAAGTGGCAGGATACAAAATCAACATGCAAAAGTCAGAAGCCTTCCTATACACTAACAATAAATCTGAAGAAGAAGAAATGAAAAAACCATCCCCTTTATTATCGAAACAAAAAAAATCAAATATTTGGGAATAAATCTAACAAAAGAGGTAAAGGACCTTTACAAAGAAAACTATAAAACACTGTTAAAAGAAATAGAAGAAGATACAAAGAAATGGAAAGACATCCCCTGCTCATGGATTGGAAGAATAAACATTATTAAAATGGCCATCCTACCAAAAGCAATATACCGATTCAATGCTATTCCAATCAAAATTTCAATGTCATTCTTCAAAGAAATAGAACAATTATTGATGAAATTCATATGGAATCACAAAAAACCCCGAACAGCCAAAGCTCTCCTGAAAAAAAAGAAAGGGAATGGAGGCATCACACTCCCAGACTTCAAACTATACTACAAAGCCATAATCATCAAAACTGCATGGTATTGGTACAAGAACAGACACACAGACCAATGGAACTGAACAGCAATCCAGAAATAAACCCACAGATTTATGGTCAACTAATCGTTGACAAGGAGCAAAGAATATGCATTGGAGCAAAGAAAGTTTGTTCAATAAATGGTGTTGGAAAACTGGGTCACTACATGCAAAAGAATGAAACTTGACCACTACCTCACACCATACACAAAAATCAACTCGAAATGGATTAAAGAACTAGACATAAGACCTGAAACCATAAAATATATAGAAGGAAATATAGGCAAAACACTACATGATTTGCACATCAAAGACATCTTTACAGACACATCACCCAAAGCAGTGATAGTGAAGGCAAAGATAATCAGCTGGGACTACATCAAATTAAAGAGCTTCTGCACAGCAAAAGAGACAATAAACAAAACAAAGAGAAACCCCACCAACTGGGAGAACATTTTTGCACACAACACTAATGATAAAGGACTGATCACAAAAATCTGCAAAGAGCTGATGAGACTCAACAAAAACAAAGAAAATATTCCAGTCAAAAAATGGGCAGGGCCTCCCCGGTGGCGCAGCAGTTGAGCGCTGGGTTGCGAAGCTGCTCCGCGGCCTCTGTGGTGCCGGTTCGATCCCCGGCTGCTCCCCGGCCACCAGAGGAGGGTCCCACATGGCGCGCAGACCTCTCCTGCCGCCCGCTGCTCCCCTCAGCAGTGTACTTCAGTCCTTCTGCCTGCTCTGCTCCCTGCTCTGGCTCTGGTGAATTCTCTCACCCTCCTGCGCTTCTGACTGTACCCAGTGCTTGTATAAACAAAACAAACAAACAAACCAGCAAACAAATAAATAAAGCATGCCTCTATTAAAAAAAAAAAAAAAAAAAAAGGGCAGAAGAGGTAAAAAGAAACTTCTCTGAAGAGGAAATGCAAATGGCCAACAGGCATATGAAAAAATGTTCAACATCACTTGTAATCAGGGAAATGCAAATCAAAACTACCATGAGATACCATCTTACACCAGTGAGAATGGCACATATTAAAAAAACTAGCAACAACAAATGTTGGCGAGGGTGTGGAGAAAAAGGAACTCTCCTGCACTGTTGGTGGGAGTGCAAACTGGTCCAACCACTATGGAGAGCTGTGTGGAGATTTCTGGACCTACTAAACATAGAGCTTCCATATGATCCAGCAATTCCACTCCTAGGTCTTTACCCAAAGGACACAGAAACATCCATTCCAAAGAACACCTGCACCCCTATGTTTATAGCAGCACTATTTACAATAGCTAAGCTTTGGAAACAGCCCAAATGCCCAAAAATAGATGACTGGATCAAGAAGATGTGGTACATATATACCATGGAATATTACTCAGCATTCAAAAAAGATAAACACATGCAATTTGCAGCAACATGGATGGCGCTGGAAGGGATCATGCTCAGCGAAATAAGCCAAAAAGAAAAAGAAAAATACCGGATGGTCTCACTCATAGCAGGAATATAGAAAACCTAAATAAGGGACCAGGAAAATGAATAACTATAAGAAAGTGAAAATCAAAATCAACAAAAAACTATGAAACAGAGACACTTTTTGGGGGGTGGGGGGGGAGGGGAGGGATTGGGGTCAGAATGGGGGGGGTTGCAATTGTATGGGGAATATAAAAATAAAATTTATTATTTAAAAAAAAAAAAGGGCAGTGAAAATACTCTGTATGATAGTATACTGATGGATTTGTATCGTTATATATGCAAAACATCAAGAGTGAACCCTGATGTGTGATTGTGATGTGCTATGTAGGTTTATCCATTGTAAACAGCTCTCTGGTAGGGGATACTGATAATGAATGTGGGTATGCAGATATGAAATCAGGGGATATATGGGAATCTTTTTACCTTCTTGTCAATTATGTGACTTTCAAAAGATAAAGTGTTAAATAACTAAACAAACAAACAAACAAATAAAAAAAAAAAGTAAAAAAAAAAAATCAACTTTACTTAGGTCTAAATTGTACACTGGTGTAACTTAAACCCCTTAACAGTCAGCCCTTGCCTTACCTCCAGCCCAGCAACCACTGATTTACTCCAGACTATGGTTCTCTAAGTGTGATAATCTAGGGGATCTAAGAATTATTTCCATAATAAAATTAAGAGGTTATCTGCTCCTTTCATTTTCATTCTCTCGAGTATAGAGTGGAGCTTTCCAGAGACTGGCCACATAATATGTAATATGTAACCAATAATACATATTATAACACTACATAATATGTGATATGTAACATGCAACACATCTAGTAGTCTTCTATTAAGCCAGATATAAGATTTGTAAAAAATGTAAAATAATGTTACTCTTTTTACTAAAATAGCTTTGTTTTTGAAAATTAAAAACAAGAAAGCATGTTATTTATGTTAACATGTAATAGGTTTATTGTTATTTTCAAATGAATTAACATAAAATGTTTTAATGTCTAACAAGATTAATATCAATGCATATAGTGCACAAAATAAAAGGTCTTGGAGGTCCTGAACATTAAAAGTATGGGGCCTCCCTGGTGGCGCAGCGGGTTGAGCGCGGCACTGTGAAGCTGTCTGCTGCCTCTGCAGTGTGGGTTTGATCCCTGTGGGCCAGGGAGATACCCACATGGCGCAGCAGACCTCTCATGTCTTGCCTGCTGCTCCCTTCAGCAGTGTATTTCAGTGTCTGCCTGTTCTGGTGCCCCACTCTGTCTCTGGTGAATCCTCTCACCCTCCCACGCCTCTGACTTGTACCCCAGTTCTTGTATAAATAAATAAATCTTTAAAGAAAAAAAAACATTCAGAGGATGAAAAAATCTTGGACTAAAATGCTGCATAGGTGATGATGTTCTTCCTAATTTTAAAATGCTATGATTCCATTAATTATCTGAAAGTTAACTGACTGAATTTTCAATCAACTATTCATTTATAGCAATGAAGTAGTGGTCTAACTGCGCTAATACATCTCTTATCACCATCTAAAACATAGGTAACCATTTTATTCACTTAAAAAGAAAAGCTAAATAGTTACAACTTTCTCTTAAAAGAGGTTATACCATCTAAACTTTTTTTTAAAGATTTATTTATTCATGCATATAAGATCTGGGGTACAGGCCAGAGATGTGGGGGTGAGAGAACTCACCAGAGACAGTGGGGAACAGAACAAGCAGACCAACTAAAATACACTGCTGAGGGGAGGAGGAGAGACAGGAGCGTTGTGCCTCACTATGTGGTTTTCTCCCTGGCAGGCAGGGATCGAACTCGCGCTGCAGAGGATGCAGACTGCTTCACAGTGCAGTGATTAACCTCTTGAGCCACCAGGGAGGCCCTCTAATCTTTTGTTGTCTGAGAGTACCTAGCTTAATGCATGGTACTGAATCCCTTCATTAGAAGAAAAAATATCATTACCTTTTACCAAATACAGAAACTTTTCTTTCAGATGTGGGTTTGTTTATATTCAACTTTCCAAAGGAGGGTTTCTCTTTGCTTTAAGAAAAGGAGAAATACAAATTCTTAAGTAAACACAAATATTAGTTCAAGAAACTTTTGAAAATGTTAGAACCAATACCTCCTCCCCACTACTTATAAAAATAATTCAAGACCATGAAAATTTTTAGCAGCTATTATAAATGGGATAGTTTAAGTTATAAACACATAGTTTAAGTTATAATTCTAAAATGTTAAGAAGAAAGCAGAACAAAAACCACATCTACATTATGATCTCAACTATTTTAAAATATGTACACTATGGATAACAACTGTTAAGAAAAAGACAATATAAATATTTCAAATTTCTGGAAATAGCAGAGGCTCGTAGTATGTAAAAATAATTAAAGTACCTTGGTATTAAGAGAAAGAGTGATAAATAAAACAAATAGTTTTCTTCCAACTGGAAGAAAATCACTTGTAAGAAAAAGCTAGTTTATGACAGGGTGTTTTGGACACCTTTTCCCAGTGAATCTTGAAAAACAGTTTGGGGAAGTCTCTACAGGCTTCTTCTAAACTGTAGCTTATTGTCAGAACAAATAATATCTTTTATAAAACTTTGCTAGTTTTGGAAGCACCTCAAAAATTAAAAGTGATAGCAAGGAATCTGCTCAAACAAGCAGATGTAGGACAAAGGAGGAAAGTAAGAGCGAGCTGAAGGGGAAGTAATAAATGGTTTTTTTAGGGATTGCTGGGCAAAGGATGTGGCTTTGAGAATTTAAGGATCAAATCTTACTTAGATAAAACACAACACCTTGAAGAACATGCCTAATTTTGAACTTCAGTCACTCAAAATTAGTTACCGCTGGGAACAGAGAAGATTAATCATGACATCACTTATTTTACATCTTTACAGATTTCTTTGCCCAAGGTGGTAAGGCATGAGGTACTTACGTTTGAGGGGTATAGAGGCATTGTTTATTGAGGTCCTGGGATCTCAACTCTTGCATAGAGAGGCGACCAGCACCGCCAGTGGAAACTGAACTGCGCTTCATGCTTATGGCCTAGATACATGAACTCAGTATTAAAAAAAATCTTTTCAGACATTAATGAAATATCAAACACCAACTATTACCTTCCCCTCATACAGAAAGGTAGTCAAATCTCAGTCTTTCTTCAACAATCTTCTCCCAGGCTCTCTTGTCACATATTTGCAGAGTATCTGTTTAACTTAATTTAAAAATACTCAACACACATAATCACTTACCTACCATATACAAGTGAGTATGCAAGGAAATGCAAACGATACAAAGATGAATAAGGTATGATTCTCGCAATCACAAGGGTGTCTTGTGATAAAGCCCTGAATTGTAACCCAGACATCACAGCTGGTGGCTGTGCCTATTTCAATGGTAAGTGAGAGGCTGCCTGCCAAGAACCATCTTGGGATATTTCCTTTTCTTTGGTCTCTAAAAATGGAGCTATTTTTTTTTTTTTCCTAATGTCCATCTCTCCTGCTCTCCCCTTAATCTACTTTTTTCCTTTTTATACTTTTCAATTGTTGCTCCTCTTTCTTCAACCTGTGCTGCAGGAGGCCTTGTTGCTCCAGCCAGATAGGATACTGACAAGCAGCAAAGAGAAAAGGCCTCACACCATGGGGCTGAAGATCTGGCATCCCTTTGCTTTTTGTTCTTGGTCATAGAGAGAGAAAAATTTATCAGAAAGTATATTAGGCAATAAATTATATGTATCAGCATATTGTAAGTAAATAGCACAGAAAATTGTTTGTTTAAAAATTAGTTGTTGGGCAGTTTGGCCCACTTGACAATGGGAGATGGTTTGTTGAACATGCCTGACAAGCATTACAATTCAATAATTACAGTGGGTCCTTCTTTTGCCTTCTCTTGAAGTTTCTTGGGAAAGTTTTTAAAATGAAGCTATTTGAGTTAAGGAGTTTCTAGGTAAAGGAAGTTCTGATAGCTGAGTAGCATCTGGCCCCTGGTGTGAAGGCCAAGAGAATAAGAAAAGTTCTTTCTTTGCTTAGGCTTTAGCTGATGGGAATGTTCTGGTGGCTATCAATTGTGTTGGGCTATTGGTTAGCTGAAACAATGAATTTCAGTGTAAGACTTAGTTTTTTAGTAACCTTGAAGGTTGCCTTCTTGCTGAGAGCAGGGAAAAGGAGATGCACTAATTGTTTCTGCTTTGTTTCTATGCACATGATAATGTAATCCTACTGCTTGCAAAAAATGTATAAATAAAGAACCTGCTGAGCCTTTCGGGCAGAAGATACTAACACCTCACCTCATTCCCTTCCTCTCAGTCCCTAAGTTTCAGTCCTTTCGTTTTGGCCAAAGCTGTCTCATCCTTTCAGGAACCCCTGACACGACATTTTGCCGGAGGCTGGTCCCCGGCAAACCTGCTCAACAAGAACAATCTGGTCCACAAAAGAGTCTACAGGCTGATCCATTTTTTTCTCATCACTTTGAGACAGGGCAAGCTAGGGTTATTAGGCAGTTTTAGGGATAGTGCAGGAGGGGACCTCTGAAAAATTTAGGGAGGCTTCAGAGATAAGGACAAGCAAGGGAAAGTAACCCATTCCATTAGGAAAAACAAACATGCCAGGACCAAGGACAACATTGTTAATGCTGGTCCTGGTTTCCTTCAGGTGGTAAAGGGAGGCGGAGATTGGAGAAATGGAGAGTGATTTAATTTATGGTCACATTAGAAGGGCAGCTGTTTAACTTCAATGCAGGGATGTCCATCCAGAGGACTGGGCCATAAATTTAAAGATGCAACAAATGGGGAAAGAGAAAGCTGTTAGATAAGGAACGTGAAGATCCCCCTACTCAGTAGCAAATTAAGTGAGACAGCCGAGAACTAACCAATCACAAAGAGACTGGGGCAGCTTTAGAATAATGAGGGAAAAAAGGTATATATTCCCTAAGACACGACTCCACTTTGGCTTCCTTGCCCCTCCCAGGCCTGGTTCCCTGGCCTGGGAGTCCCACTTTATTTCTGCTCTTTTTCTCCTCAATAAACTTTTTCTTCTAAACAAACCTGCCTCTTCTCGCTTGCTTGCCTGAGCGTCTGCGAAGTTCCTGCTGCGGCTTCGTGAGACACCAACCCGTGGGGGTCTAGAGGCTGGGGCTCAGCGCTGCCCTGCAGCCTGAAATCCGATCCCGGCTGGGAGACTAGGCCTGACAATTCCGGCATCAACTTTGTCTCATTTCCGAGTCATCTACTGACACCCTCACCTCCTAAGATACTCATGATCCCATCTAATCTCTATGGCATTCGCCACTGTATACCCAGTCTTCTCAGACCCTGCTGCGGCTTCCAGAAAAGAGGTCGTTTATTGATATTCTTCTACTTCTCTAGGATCTCCTTACTTGTAAAAACCATTTCTACTCTCCTCTTCTTGATTTTCGCCGCCTACTTCTCCTTCCATACATGCTTCTGCATCTATTCAGTTTTCCCATTAGTGCACTCCCAATCTCTGCACAAGATGTGTAAGATTAAGAGTTCTAGATGTACCTCTAACATGGCAACAGGAGGTTACACTAGTGTCTTAAACACAAAACACCGAATAGTTCCTCAGTTGTCCTTATCTCTGTTCCCATCAATTCTCTTCCTTTTCCCAGCTGTTGTTCTCCCCATCAGTTCCAGCTGACTTTTGGGAAACCAGCCAGTAAAAGTGTACTGGCCCCGGCAAACCCGCGCCTCGCACAGAGTCAGCCCACAGGCCTCTCCACACAGCAGGAACTAAACAAACACTTTCCCTGTAAGAGCGCCACAGCTAAGCTGCTGGCGCCATAGCTTTCTCCTCCAGAGCAGTATCAAAGGCACGAAATTAACTCAAAGTCTTTACTTACCCTTCTTTTAGTTTCCTGGCACAACCCAGGCACCGAATTTCTGTAAACCGTGTAACTGGGCGTTGAACATTTGAGCAGCCGCCAAAACAACAAATCCTCATCCCACCCGCCCGCGCCGTTCGAATTTTAAACTCTGCGCCGGTGATGACATCATCACGCACGGCGCGCACGGGCGTGCGTAACTCTCACGCGTCACTCGTCGCCGGAACTAGCGTATTGTTCGCGCTGCGCAACGGGTCTCACTGGCGTCTCCCGGCCAGCGTAAGTGTCCCCTGCGAACTGCGGTCCGCTCTCCAAGTTTAGCTCTGAAGACCCGAGCGTTCTGCGCGGCTGAGAAGCGGCAGAACGCGCCAAGTCTTCCTGGACACACCGTTTCCGTACAACAATATGGCCGCGCCCATGGCTCTTAGAAAGGGAGCTGTTTCCCCCAACCCTCCGCCCGTTCCCTGAAAGAGCGTCTTTTATGACCACTTTGTAGATTGCTGTTGTTTTCCTGATGTGATTGTGGGGAGGCGGCGTGCACTTTCCTGACAAGGAAAGCGGTGAGGTAGGATAGAATGATTGGTGACCGTGGGTTCGCGGGCTCGGGAAGGCTCAGCCTTTGCTCGCTGGCGCGTCCTGGTCCTCTAGCGGTGCTACGCGGGGAGCGCGAAGGGAGCCTGAGGGCGGGGGGTTGGGGTGTCAGTGGGTGTGAAGCAGAGAAGGGGGAGCAAGTTGGAGAGGTGCCCCTAGCACCGTAGATTGCTTTGTTAAAAAATGAATTCCCCGCTCCTTGGGTTTGAATTCTGATGCAAATAGCGCTTAATGCTTAGAGACGAGCTTAGACCTAAAGTCGGAATATCGGGGTTTTGTAGGAGTTGTGCTGTTACGACAAGAGTTGTAGTTTTGGGGCCTCCTTGGTGGCGGAAGGGGTTGAGTACCGCCCTGTGAGGCAATCCGCAGCCTCTGCAGCAGCACGAGTTCTATCCCCGGCCGGCTAGGGAGAAGCCCACATGGCGAGCAGACCTCTCCTGCCGTGCCCGCAGCTCCTCTCAGCAGTGTACTTCGTCAGTCTGCCTGTACTGTTCCCTGCTCTGTTTCTGGTGAATCCTCTCACCCACCCCCTGGCCCCCGTATCTCTGGCCTGTATCCCAGCTCTTCTATGCATAAATAAATAAATATTAAAAAAAAAAGAGTTGTAGTTTTGGACAAGTCAACAGAGATCTGGAATTTTAACCTTGCAATTTTGTTCGGATTTAGTGCTATTAATATTGCGTTATTGTCTAAGTCAGAAGGACTGATTTATTTTTGCAAATGTAGTTTGAAAAAACAAGAGTTGATTTGCAAATATTCTCAAAAATATGGACCCTCTCTAGGGTTCCATCTCATTAAAAGGATGAATTCATATAGGTAATGTAGCATTCTTTGCGTTCATACAGTAATCTTACCTTTGTTTACTGTCCTAACTTGGAGAATGTAAATCTCGTGATTAGATCCTGAGACCAAGCAGAAGTTATGTGGCGGTCTGAGGAAAGTAGGGATTCCAGAAATAAGAAGACATTAGCCTCTTTGGCCAAACTGGCTGAAAAAAATTGAATTTCCAGGGTTGAATAATGAATTGAAAATTCATATTAAAACATTACATAACATTTGCTTAGTCTTGCTATAAGGACATCTTGAATATTAAATTCTCTTCTGTGTACATGTCAAGTATATGTTTGCATAACAAATCTGCCTGTGCGCGTAATATAGTTTTATTGAAATTTTATTTCTCGTTTATAATTTCCGGAGTTGTTTTTTTTTTTTAAGGAAGAGAATGTCTGTGGTGCACCAACTGTCACCAGGATGGTTACTGGATCATCTTTCTTTCATTAACAAGAGTAACTATCAACTTCACAAGCTTTGTGAACCTTGTTACTGTAAAAATGAGCCCATGTCTGTCCACCCTGATTCTCTACACATGGATTCTGTGTCCTCTTTTGGAACTTCTGCTACATTTATTGCTTCTGACTCTACCACAAAACTACCAAACGATGAGGGAGGAAATTGTGAAAAACTCAGACAGAAATATGTTTTTCGATCTGAACTGTTTGATGTCACTAAACCTTATATAACTTCACCTACTGACAAAGACTGCCAACAGACTACTGGAAAGGAAGATCTAATGGATGGTGTTAAAAAAGAAATCTCCAGTTCCACAATTCGGAAGGTAGAAAGTTTTAAGAAATTTTAATTGTAAAGAGTTATTAAAAGTACATCGGATTTTATTTTTTGATGACTGTATGTTGATAATTCTTCTCAGAAATGTAAGTTCAGAATATTTATAGTATGTAGCTCAGTTGATAGGTGACTCTAGTGACTTTATAAAGTTGGACAATTGTATTCTATAGATGTCAGTGTCAGTTCTAACTAGGAGCACATAAGGCTGATGTGACTTCTTATCGCCCATTAACTTTATTTATTTTTTAAAAAGATTTATTTTTATTTATACAAGCACTGGGTACAGTCAGACGCGCAGGAGGGTGAGAGAATTCACCAGAGCCAGAGCGGGGAGCAGAGCAGGCAGAAGGACCGAAGTACACTGCTGAGGGAAGCAGCGGGTGGCAGGAGAGGTCTGCGCGCCATGTGGGACCCTCCTCCGGTGGCTGGGGAGCAGCTGGGGATCAAACTGGTGCTGCAGAGGCTGCGGGCAGCTTCGCAACCCAGTACTAAACTGCTGCGCCACCTGGGAGGCCCTCTCCCATTAACTTTAGAGTAGTAGTTGGGAAATAATTATTTGTTTACTTGACCTCAATAGTTAATTATTTGCTCTTAAAGACATGTCTGATACACAAAATATGAAAAATGTGATAAAGAAGAATAATAGAATTCAAAATACCAATATTGTAGTAGTTTGAAATATAAATTTCTCCCTGTAATTTATTCTTTAGAAGCGTAAAAGATGTGTTGTTTTCAATCAAGGTGAATTGGATGCTATGGAATATCATAAAAAGGTAAGATGTACATTGATGACACTGGAAGAGTAATTGTGAAGTTGTGTAGATAAATGGACACCATAAATAATGATGTTCTTAAAAGTCAAGCAATCATTTTGATCAAGGTTAGAATTTAATAGTAGAGTGATTGTTACTTTTATAGTAGTGAGTAGTTAAACTGATTTTTATTGACTTCATATATGTTTATTAGTTTTATATATTTAACAACAGTAGACATTAAGTTTAGAAATGTTATGTTATGAAAACGTATTGTCCATAGAAAAGCAACTTATTAAGATTGTAGCAGAAGAAAGCCTGAATAATGTGATGTATTTATTTCTAGAGCTTCAGATAAAGGAAATCTAGGAGGCAAGGAAATGAGAGGAAACTAAAGGAAGTTTTGAAATGGGAAAATTGGGGTGAGAATTTGGCTTAGGAGAGATGTTAGTACAGTTTTGATTATGTTGAATTAATGTGATGGTAGAACATTAGATTTTTTTCTTTTTGTGATAAAAATATAGATAGCATAAAATTTACTATCTTAAGACAATTTGTAACAATTCAGTGGCATTAAGTACATTCACAGTATTGTGCCATCATCACCACTATCCATTTCCAGAACTTTTTCATCATTCCAAAAAGAACCTGTACCCATTAAATAATATGTTGCTGTTTCCCCAACTCTTGGAAACCTCTGTTCAACTTTCTATCATTGTGAATATTGTGAATACCCTTATTCTAGGTATGTCATATATATGTCACCATACAATTTATTTCCCTTAGCATATTGCCTTCAAGTTCATACATATTGCAGTATATATCAGAATTTCATCCTCTTAAGGTTGAATAATACTGTACACATCTACTGCATTTCATTTATCCATTCATTTGTGGACATTTGGGTTGTTTCTACCTTTTAGCTATTGTGAATAATGCTGCTATGAATATTTGTGTACAAGTATGTATTTGAATTCCTACTCTTGGTTCTTTTAGATATGTACCCAGAAGTAGAATTGCTGGGTCATGTAGTAAATTTATGTTAAAGTTTTTGAGAAACTGCCAGATGTTTCCATAGCTGTTGCTCCATTTTACATTTTTATGAGCAATGTACAAGGATTCCAATTTTTGTATATCCTCACTAACTTTTTTTAAAACCAATAACAGTCCTAATGGGTCTGAAGTAGTTTCTCATCATGGTTTTCATTAATCAATTTACTTTTAAATGTATTGAAGATAGCTGAATATACAAATGCTGTATCCTTTAATACCAGAAATGTTATTTTGTTGATTTTGGAAATATATCTATTGCCTAGCAATGCCACTTACAAGATTAAACTGCAGAAATATGCACAAATACAGGGTCTGGTATTATACAATAAAGATTAGTAATTTTACTTTGATATTAAATGAAATTAGAGTGTAGAGTTTCTTGAATTCATGTATATTCAGTTTGTTAAATATTTGGGACTGTTAATGATAACTATAAATTATGAAACATTTTGCTTGTGCACTGTGGAGTGCAAAAGAGATTGGTTAGAGATGAAACTGGGGTGATCGGAAGTAACGATTATGTAAGCATTTATACATGCTTTTATTATGAAAGACATTCAGACAATTTGAAGGGTAGCGGGAAACTATAGAAAGCAGATGAATTGATCGATTTGCTTTTTATTCATTCTTATTTATATTTGGATAGCTAATACATTAATATTGTAAGGATTGACATGCACAAAAAGTGTATGAAGTCTTTCTCTAATTCTGTCTCTGTCACCTGCTTCCTCCTCCCCATGTTTCTGTCCATTGGTGATTTTCATATACAAAAAGGGACATGTATTATAGTTCCTGTTTTCATATTTCACACTTTTGCAACTTGCTTTTCCCCCTTCAGCTTAACATATCTTACAAATTGTTTTATATCCCATTTGTTCTTTTGTGCTTTTATGTACTTTGTCTTTAATGCTGACATGTTAGGTATATTATGTATATGCCATTTCTATGTGTATATGTGTATTTGCAGGAGAAATTTCAGGAAGTTGAATTACTGGGTCTGAGGGTTTGAACATTTTGATAAATGATGCCATGTTGCCACTATAGAGATTGTTTCATTTTATTAACATGCCAGAAATTTATAATTTTGCCTGTTTCTACCCATCCATACTGACATGGTATGTTACTGTTTTTGATCTTTGTTAATCTGATCGGTGAAAAATAGTATTGCAATATAGTTTTCATTTGAATGTCTCTTATGAAAGTGTAGTTAAACATTTTTACATATTTAAAAACCATTTGTATTTCTTTTTATGTCAACTTTTGCCTTTGCACACTTAAAAACTGGGCTGTTTTCTTATTGATTTATAGGAGTCTATAGGAGCTTTTTGTATGTGAGGGAAATGAGCTCTTTGTTTATGATAAATAGCAAATACATTTTCCAAATTTGTCATTTTAACTTTAATTATTTTTTGTTATTATGCTATGCAGGCAATATTATGGCTTTTTAAAATTAATTACTATAGTTTTAGGATTACATTTTTACTTCTTTATTTGTGCACGTTTCACTTCTTCTCCACCAGACCTCCCATGACAGTGCCCTTTCTAAAACTTTCCTCCTACACCCCCTCTTCCATCCACCCTCTTCACTGTGGTAATCAGTAAACTTTTTCACTAAGTCCTAGATTTGTTCTCGTTGTATTTTGCCAGTGTACATCTTTTTTTAAGTTTATATGCCACAGGTAATTGAAATTATCTTATATTTGTCTTTCATTTTCTGACTTTTTTCCACAGCATACATGTTGTCCCAAAAGACACTATTTCACCTTTTTAAATAGCTGTATAATATTTCATTGCATTTATATTCCACATTTCTTTATCCATTTGTCTGTTGATGAAAATTGGTTTCATTGTGTTTTTATTTACTTGACTTTATTCAGTTTTTTCTTTATGCCTCCTGAATATTTGAGTAATAATTAGAAAGGTGTTCCTTCTGCAAGACTTTAAAAGGAAATTTCCTTTTTCTTCTAGGGTATGGTATTATCTCACATTTGTATCTTTAATCCTTTTAGATTTCTTCTTGTATAAAGTTTATGAACTATAATTCCAACTTTGTTTTTGTCTAGATGGGTACCTTATTTCTTTTTTTTCAACTCAGTCCGTATTTGATAAAATCAAAGTTATGTTTATTTTAATGCTAAACCATGAGGAAGTTTTTAAGATTAAATGTTGTGATTTAAACTTAATTCTCTTTATAGATTAGAAATTGCATTATCTTATAGAAATGTTCATATTATCACATACAGCTTCTACATTTTCAAGATTTTTTTAATATATACTGTTTGCTTCTTTAATTGTCAGTGAATCTAAGGTTTGTGTATACAATTAAGAAACAGCATTTCAAAGGTACACTATATTCTTACCTTTCCATATTAATATGAAATTATTCTACTGTAAGCATTAAGCATTTTATTTCAATTTCTCAGTTCAAATATTCAAAACATTGTAGAGATTTCTTATGTAGGAAATTGTTTTAATGTCTGTGATATTTTAATGTACTTAAAAAAATTCTCTTACAGATCAGGAGACTGATTTTGGATGGCTCTTCACAGTTAATCCAAGAAGGTCTCAAAAGTGGCTTTCTTCATCCACTTTCTGAAAAACGGGACAGTAAGCCCATTGCTTTACCACTTGATACCTGCAATTTGTCAGAATTATGTGAAATGGCAAAGCTTTTGCCTTCTCTGAATGAAATGGAACTTCAGACGTTACAATTGATGGAAGATAATATGTCTGTTACAGAGCAGGATTTATTTTCACGGGTTGTTGAAAACAACTCTAGCTTTACAAAACTGATTACTTTAATGGGACAGAAATACCTGTTACCACCAAAAACCAGTTTTCTTTTGTCTGATATTTCTTGTATGCATCCACTTCTGAATTGTAAGTAATTGTTATAAATATTATTAGAAAAATAAGTTTTCTGTGGCCTCAAAAGTCAAGAGATAATCTGATGTTGAATGAAGGTCAACATTTTAAGATAGGGAAGACACTTAATTTTCTTAGTGTAGTTTTTCTTTTAATATTCAGTTTCAAAATGCTGTCTTTTGCTTCTTGAAAAATTTGATTTTTTTTTAAATGAAAAAAGGGTTAAAACTAGTCTCCAAAAGAGTAAATATAGTTACTGTTGTGTACTTAGAAATTCAAGATACAATTGGGTTTGACTAAATAGTAGTACTTTCTTTATAGAAAGTGAACTATTTCAGGGCCTCCGTGCATGTATAAACAAAACAAACAAACAAACAAACAAACAAATAAATAAAACATGCCTCTAAAAAAGAAAAAAAAAAGAATTAAAAAAAAAAAAGAATGTTCTAAAAAAAAAAAAAGAAAGTGAACTATTTCAGATACAAATATTAATTCCCAAAACATTCCAAGCCTTTTAGCTACATTTTAATATTCAAGTTTATTATATAAAATTTCTTGAAATACTTTCCTGTATAAAATTAAAATTTTTAAATATTAAATTCCATGGTCATACAGACTTAAGTTTGATTTCCGTTCTGAAGCTTAATTTTGAGACTTTAGGCTATGCACTTCACAAAACACAAAACTGAGTCTCATTTTCCCAGGCTATAAAGTGGATATACTTCTGAAGACCATTTTGAGGATTAAATGAGATAATCTGCAAAGGGTGCTCAGCTCAGTGATTTATATATTTTTAATAATTATAGTTGCTGGAATATTCCTTGGGATGAGGAATTTAGGAGAAATTGATCAAGTTGAATTTAATCTGCTATTGTTATTTGGACATTTTTATAGCAGAATTTTAAGTTATTAAAATAGATATAGCTTATTAATGAAAAACATCTTTCTTTGCTATCAACCCATTCCACAGTGTCATAAATTCTTCTGGGTAAATGACAGAATAACATGTTAATGTGAAGATTATGCTATATTTTAACATTTTCTGTCATTCTTATAGCTATTTATTACTGTAATTATTTAAACACTGTTACTTCTTCTAATTCTGTTGATTATCTATGAGATTGTAGATTTATAAAAATATACCTATGTCTGTAAAAGGAGAAGAGAGAGCTCTTCCTTTTAGTAAAATTGTGATTAATAAATGTAGGTAGAATGATGGACCTAGAAGATTTTCATTTATCAGATGCCATAGTATCTGTAATTAGATGTTAAATTGGTGGGTGAAAAGATGAAAGACAATATCTGCACGCTCTTAAAATCTGCGCCCACAAAGTACTTACTAATTACAAAGCAAGAACTAGAGAAGCCTGACAGATAACCCTTTAACCAAGTGATCAAAGTTAGTATCAGCATGAGACATTTGACATCCTGTACTTTCTAATGTATTGCTATGATAAGGGCATGGCATTACCTCAGTGGTTCTTTTTCCAGAAATAAATAACCCAAATATAATTCTGAAGAAAGACCACGCCCCAGTTGAGGAACATATGAATTGACCAATAGCTTTCATAAATGTCAAAAGAAAAGCTGAAGAATTTACCCAGATTAGAGGAGATTGAGGACATATGGCAACTAAATCCAACGTGTGATCCTGGTTTGGATCCTAGGGCAGTAGTAGACAATTAGAGAAATTTTATCATGGTCAACATTTCAGTTATAAGCCTGAAATTAGTTTAAAATAATAAAAAAAAAAAAGTAAAGCCAAAAGGCCACAAAACCCATGTAAGTTCGAAGGGACCATATTAATATGACTGCCAAGACTTACAAGGCATTTACCACTCACTGGTGGCCAGTTCATTATCTGTGGTAGTTTCTGCAAAAATAGGTGAAATTATATTAAAGGCCCAGCAGTACTAAATTATTAGGGTAAGCTCTCAATTTTTTTTTTTTGCTAAATCATTTGAATAAGTCACAAATCCTTTTGTTGCATTCTATTATATTTGTGTCTGTAGTGAGTGCAGTTCAGTTTTGAAGAACATATTATTTTTAAAGCGGTCACATACAGAAGGAATTCACTCTAATTATGTCTTTTTTTTTTCAGGTAGAAAAACATATGATGTAATTGTGATAGATCCACCATGGCAGAACAAATCAGTTAAAAGGAGTAATAGGTAAGTGCCTATCTATTAGATATGCTTTCTTAAAGTAATTGTTGTTTTTCCATTCCAGTTACATCTTCTGAAAGCCTCACTTTGTGGTTTAGTTTGTCTGAAACTACTAAAACACTTTAATTTTAAAATTTTAATTACCTCAGTTCATTTGAGCTAAAACTATAATTAGGTATAAGAATGGCAAAATTAATATATTTATTAATGACTGAGGTTACCGACGGAACCAGTTCAGGAACTTTTCCTGTAACACAAAAGGGTAACTTTTTGGCCTTCTTTTATACCAAACTCTAAAGTTTAAAAATATGTGGCCAAGCATTTTTCTAAATAATCTTTTATTTAGGAACTTCTCTAACTCACCCTTAAATGTTTGAATTCATGTCACCATTAGCCAAGGAAAGCAGGCAGCCTCTGGAAGCTGGAAAAGACAAGAAAACAGATTTTCCTATAGAGCCTCTGAAAGGGAATGTAATCCTACCCTCACCTTGATTTTAACCTAGTGAGACCCCTGTGAGACCTCTTACAGAACTGAAAGATAATAAAGTTATATTGTTTAAGGCACCAAATATGAGGTAATTTGTTATGATGACAATAGAAAACAAATACAGCATCAATAGATGATTTTTGACTAAATTAGTTATTGTGGTGATTGCCAAATGGTGACTATGTAATACCGTCTTTTATGCTCTCTACTTTGAGAAAGAGTTACAGGAATTTTGAACAATATTCCATCTTCTTTAGCTGTGAAAATAATTGGTAAATTTAAAGGCAGAACAGAAAGAGGATTCAGGGTGGGTAGGTTTGATTGTGAATTCAGAGGTTAAGGGTAGGTTGCAGCAATAATAAAGATGAGGAAAGACTATAAGAATCTTGTTTGGCAATTAACTGTAAATTTCCTTTACCTTTCCGAGTCATTCTTGTGAGTCCTACTGAAATTCCAGACCTTCAGACAAATGTGCTGACTTCCTGATATTTCATAAATTTTCATTTTTTAGTCACAAGGATGAGTGGTCTATTTTATTGGATTGTGAATATTAAATTATAAACTTCTTGAGAGAAGGATGCTGTTATGTATTTTTAAAATTGAGATAAAATTCACTGGTTTAACCACTTTAAAGTGGTTCAGTGGTTTAATGTATTAACAATGTTGTACAAATATCAGCATATCTAATTCTAGACTATTTCCATTATCCCACAAAGAATCCCCATACTTTTCAGTTATCTCCTTTGCCCATTCCCTGGCAATCACTAATCTACTTTCTGTCTCTGTGAACCTGCCTTTTGTGGACACTAATCTTTCTGTCTCTGTGAACCTGCCTTTTGTGGACACTAATCATATAAATAGAATAATACAATGTGTGGTCTTTGTGATAGGCTTCTATCGTTTGACATATGTTTTCAAGGTTACAGATATAGTATGTATCAATACTTCATTCCTTTCTATGAATAATGAAATTCCATTGCATGTATATATACTACTTTAATTTGTGCATTAGATTATTAAAATTTTCTGTGAGTATGTATATTAAAGAATTTGGCTTTGCCCAAAGAGAAGTCTGGGCTTTGCCCAAAGAGAAGTCTGACCTTTGCCTTCAACTTCTGGGAGGTGATCTATGTCATACCAGATAGAATTGTCCTTGTTTATTTTATGTGGTAGAAGGGACTTGGTGGGGAGCTTGGGAGACTGGCCTCATCAGCAATCTCAGGGTGGGGACTGGCCACACCAGAAAGACCAACTATACGATTTAGGGTAGAGCTGTTTTTTCCTCCCAAATAAGATTTTATTTATTTACCATTGATTTCAAATACTATATAAATTTTGAGGGCACATTTTCGCCTCTATGTGCATAGATAAGCCTTACCTCACCTGAAGTGGGGGCTTTGAAGCACAGTGCTTTCTGTCCACCCTGGAGACTGAGTTTAACCACATGGGCAGTCAGTCACTTATGCCCACATCATGAAACTCCAATAAAAACTCTTGATGCCGAAGTTCTGTATTATTATATGTTGCTGCCAGGAGAGTAACATGACTTGACTCTATGGAGAGGACAGTGGAAACTGTTTGGAATCCTCTTCCTTTGACTGATTTTAATCTGTAATAAACCCTAATAACATTTACATAATAAATTGTAATAAACTTTTCCTTGCAATAAACTGTAGCTGTGAGTATACCAGAATGTTACACCTCTCAAAGGGAACAGAAGTTTATGCACAGTGGGTGGTCAGTTATAGCCTGGAAGCAGCAAGGGGAGCTGGGAGAATGCTGACACATCTCTCTCTGTTGTGTGTGTTGGGTGTTAGAAAATGGACCACATTCACTTGACTGGGAAGAGGAACTAGATTTTCTACTATGGATGACCAGGAGGATTGTGTGGATCACACACGATGAAAGCATAAGGGTTTCAGACAGCCCAGTGGAATTGATTGGGAAGGAAGAAAGAAGAATAATAGATGTGAGGTTGAAAATGTTGTGGGATATTGAAACAGTAGTCTCAAGACTTACTTTAGTGAGGTCCCTATGTAATGTAAAGATTATTGGACGAAAGCATTAATATTTTGAATAGGAAGAATGAATATTATACATATTAGTAAAATTACTGAAATGTAATGCATTTAGAAGTGATAAAAGAAATACAGCTTGACAGTTTTAAACTCACTTGCATGTAATAATATGTCCACTGGGTGTCACCATGACTTCATATTTAGTAATACAAATAAATAGCTGTAGCAGCTTTTAGTTTGTGGAGTCAGTGTTATGCAGGTCTCCTGATTTTTTTTTTTCATTTATAGTGAATTTTGCAATTTTTTTTTTCTGTTTTAGGTATAATTATTTATCACCACTGCAAATAAAGCAACTGCCTATCCCTAAACTGGCTGCTCCAAACTGTCTTATTGTTACTTGGGTAACCAATAAGCAGAAGAACCTACGTTTTGTAAAGGAAGAACTTTATCCTTCTTGGTCTGTGGATATAGTTGCTGAGTGGCACTGGGTAAAAGTAAGTTCAAAAGTTAACTTCTTTATTCATCTAATATGACATGTAAGTGTTGTCTACTTCTTAGTATTTGACATGTCACTGCTATAATCCTCCTCCATAGTCTAAGTAAAATTTTTACTTTGTTGCTAAATACCTTTATACCTTTATTTTCTTATTCTCAGGACTTTTTACCTGTTCTATGTCTTTTTGTAGTAGGGTCCCAAACTTTTAGGAAATCATTTCTTGATTGAAAATCATTCAGGAAGATATCAGGATAACTTTTTTTTTTCTTTTAGTGGATTGCAATTTTATTTATTTAATTAATTAATTTTTAATTGAGGTGATATTTGGATCAGGTATTACCACTGTAGTGCTCGCACTACCAATTCACTCACAGTCCACCCCCAATGTACTTCCTTCCCTCTTTGTTCTCCCCCTCCCCTCCTTGGTGTTTAAGTTCTATAGTCAGCTATCAAGGGTCAGTTTTTAAGCTATCTTTATCTGACTCTTAATTTAGTTACTTTATATCGCACATATTAGTAATATCTTTTTTTTGGCTTTATTTAAAACTTTATTTTTTTATTATAAATTTTTTTATTTTTTACATCATTGTTCATTTTTAAACAATATTTGCTTCCCCCCCACCCCCGCCCCGTCAGGTGTAGTCCCCATAGAGTTTCCTTCACCACTGCACCTGTGCTCCATCACCGCAGTCCCCTGTGCTCCTCCTTCCCTCCCTCTGATCCCTCTCCCTCCTCCTTCCCTGAAGTATGTCTCTGATTTATAATTGTCCGTTTTTGCTTTGCTGTGTATTGTACTGTTATTATTTTTTTACACTGATGTCTTATTTGATTTCCCTATATTCCTGTTATAAGTGAAACCATTTGATATTTTTCTTTTTCCTTCTGGCTTATTTCACTGAGCATAATTCCTTCTAGCTCCATCCACGTTGCTGCGAATGGCATGAGTTTATCTTTTTTTGACTGCTGAATAATGTTCCATTGTGTGTATGTACCACATCTTCTTGATCCAGTCATCTATTTTTGGGCATTTGGGTTGTTTCCAAGTTTTACCTATTGTAAATAGTGCTGTAATAAACGTATGTATACAGGTGTTCTTTTGAATCAATGTTTTTGTGTCCTTTGGGTAGATCCCTAGCAGTGGAATTGCCGGGTTGTATGGTAGTTCCATTTTTAGTGGACTGAGAAACCTCCAGACAGCTTTCCATAGTGGTTGGACCTCATTTGGTATTTATAAAGCTTTAAAGTCTGTTTGAAAAACAACTAAAACTTTGGGGAATCTGTCCATCACTGATTATAGAAATAATCTTATCCTTCATCTTCTTCCTCTTTACAAACCCTCAATTTCAGTCAAGCTTTGTTACTTCTTTTTTTTTCTCCTTATGTTTCCAGGGTTGGGAGGGAGAACAGCAAAGTGTGGAAGAGATGGGCAGATGCTGGAACCAAGAACCTCTTATACTTAAATAAATCTTATCTTTTATTCTCAGTGCCTCAGTAGAACTTTTGAAAGAAATGATGTGCCTACTTTTGAAAGAAATGATGCCAACTCTTGGATTGGTTGAATTATCTTCATTTCTGTTTGCTGTAGAATGCCAAAAAGTACAGAAAAATAAAGCATGAGTTCATAAATTATTGGCCATCCATTGTTTAAAGATATATTGTCTACTTAGGTGCATTCTACCAAACCCTCCTGAATTTTAAAAAGATAAGCCAAGCATTATTTTTTGATAGTGTTTAGTATTTAATGATTAATATTTATATAGTTGATATATTCATTTTAGTCATAGACTTCTATTTTCATATGCTTTGTATGTACTTTGTAGCCTATTGAAATATCTTCTAAAAGCTGTGTGCATAAATTTGTATCTGTTTAAGGGAGTTGGCAAACAGACATTTACATTTATGTTTATGTTGTTTTTGCAGTTGTTTTTATGATGTACTTTCCATCTTAGCTCTGGTTGCTTTTGTAAAGGACCATGCCAGAAATATAACACCCCATTCCAACCTGTCTATTGTGCTAGTTCTTTTACAGTCAGACTGGAGCCAAAGACAGCAAGAGGTCAACTTCTGAAATCAAAATCAGTAAAATGTTAATACATTAAAATGAAACTCTTCATCTGTTGTATAGTAATTAGTTCTAAGAGATGGTATAAGACCATATATATAAGACAATATAACACATTGTATAAGACAATATAACAAATACGTTATATTATATGAAACACCTTATTTGTTAATTAAACATATTGTAATAGCAGAAAGAATAACCTGCACTGACTCAAAAGAATAGCCAAAGAATAGAAGTTGCCTTTTGAACACATTCTGGTCAAAAGGTACAAATTTCCAGTTACAAGATAAGTAAGTCCTGGGAATGTAATGTACAGCATGATGGCTGTAATTATTAGTACTTTATTGTAGATTTAAAAGTTGCCGAGAGGGCCTCCCCGGTGGCGCAGCGGTTGAGCGCTGGGTTGCGAAGCTGCCCGCAGCCTCTGCAGCGCCGGTTCGATCCCCGGCTGCTCCCCGGCCACCGGAGGAGGGTCCCACATGGCGCACAGACCTCTCCTGCCGCCCGCTGCTCCCCTCAGCAGTGTACTTCGGTCCTTCTGCCTGCTCTGCTCCCCGCTCTGGCTCTGGTGAATTCTCTCACCCTCCACTTCTGACTGTGCCCAGTGCTTGTATAAATAAATAAATAAAATCTTTAAAAAAAAAAAAAAAAAAAAAAAAAAGTTGCCGAGAGAGTCCTAAAAGTTCTCATCACAAGAAAAAAATTGTAATTATGTGAGGCTATAGATGTTTACTGGCAATCATTTCATAGTATATACTTACATCAAATCATTATCTTGTACACCTTGGACTAATGTTATATGTCAGTTATATCTCTATAAAATTTGGGGGAAAAAAAAGAATAAGAATTTGCCAGTGTTTATATAAAACTGTGTAGAAGAGAAGCTCTCTTTCATGGCCCCTAGAGGTGATAAAAGAATGTTATTTTTTTTTAGTCACCTTAATATAGGGACAAGGATTCCCAAATATAACAGTTATAAATATTCTGACACTGAAAAAATATATCTACATGGTTAATTAATGAATTGACATTCTTGTTATGTATTGTATTTTGATTTTGACTAGTTTAAGTGAGTCTTTGAAAGTCTGAAGTGTAAAATTGAATTCCTGGATTTATAATGCCAAGGGAGTGGACCAAATATTGTCTCGCTTATTATTTGTCACCTTCCTCTCATTAATTCTAGTTTGACAGTATTTATTGCCACTATTTCCCTATAAGTGAAAAGAAAATACTTTTATTATCATCTGCTTAGTCATGTTGATAGTAATCAGTAAATGTTAATGAAGGCATCACTTCCATGAATAAATTTTAATAAAAAGTAGGGATTTTTGTGTGTAAAATGATAAAGGTGGTATTTAAAATATTTTTTAATACCTTAGAATTACAGTGTTTAGAATGGTAGTCACTGACCATATGTAACTCTTCAGCACTTGAAATGTGGCTAGTCCATGTTGAGCTATGCTGTTAACTGTAAAATATGCATCAAATTTCAGAGACTTAGTATGAAAAAAAGAATGTAACGTACCTCAATAGCTTTTTTGAATTGATCAAACATTGAAATGATAATATTTTGATATCATTTGAAATGATAATGTTAAATTAAATATATAGTTAGAATTAATTTTACCACATTTTATTTTTTTTAATGTTACTACTAGAAAACTTAAATTATATATGTGGTTTGCATTCTACTTTTATTGGACAGTACTAGCTTAGAAGTTTAATAGTATCTTTTTCTTTGGTGGAAATTGTATAGACTGTTTAGTGATGGGGGAAAAACCCTTTCCTGGATATTTACAGCTGTGTGATTTTTTTTTTATTATTTTTTAAAACTCTTTCCTATCAGATTACCAGTTCAGGAGAGTTTGTGTTTCCACTAGATTCTCCACACAAAAAGCCTTATGAAGTTCTTATACTGGGGAGAGTTCGAGAAAAAACTGATTTATCATTAAGGTAGGAAAGGTAACTTTTCTAAAATTGTGTAAATGTATTAGTTTTTTGGCTTTAAAAGTTACTAATATAATGATCATTGATTTGCCTTAATTTTTACATTTTTGAAAATTGAAAATGGCCCAGAGCAGAAAAGCGTGAATGATATATTTACATGAAATTTTATTTTACCTTTTGTTTATCTAGTGTGCAGTGGTTATTATTATAAAAAAAGGAGGTTATAAAAGATGCCTCAATATTATATATTTATAAAATTATTAAAATTGTTTCTATTTTTATTTCTATTTATTTATTTATTTTTAATATTTATTTAGTCATACATACAAGAACTGGGGTACAGGCCAGACATGCAGGAGGGTGAGAAGATTCACCAGAGACAGAGCAGGGAGCAGAACAGGCAGATCTAATGAAATAAACTGCTGAGGGGAGCAGCAGGGGAGACAGGAGAGGTCTGCCATGCCATGTGGGTATCTTCGCCTCCAGCCTGGATTGAACCCACACTGCAGAGGGTTTGGACAGCTTCATAGCACTGTGTTCAACAGCTTGCACCACCAGGGAGGCCCTATTATTTCTATTTTTAACATTTATTTTAAATTCACATAAAATTTGAATGGTGAAAAAATCAAGGTAACTGTGATCTTTACATATAAAAAAATGTCCTTTAGAATATTATTTATTTTGTTCTTTTTTAATTAGGAATGCAGATGTAAAAGTGCTCTCCATTCCAGACCACAAGTTAATTGTCAGTGTGCCCTGTACTCTTCACTCACATAAGCCACCTCTTGCTGGTATGTTTTATGAAATAGAATTGTTATGTCTTCTGTGAGATTGAAAAAAAATGGATTTAGTATTTGAATACTCTAAGGATTTGGAAATTAAATCAGATATTTGGGTTTTTTTTTGATTACTGTTCTAAATTTTATAGCAGAATTTTTGGAATAGAGAATAGTTTCAGAATACCTCTGGGTGTAGGCCAGAGGTTCAGGGGGTAAGAGGGTTCATCAGAGATAGAGTGGGGAGCACAACACTCTGTCACCAGAGGCAGAGTGGGGATTGACTGAAATACACTGCTGAGGGGAGCAGGGGGTGAGAGAGGAGAGGTCTGCTGCACCATGTGGGTTAGCTCCCATGTGGGTTAGGGCCAGGGATTGAACTCAGGCCATAACATGATAATATTGACTTAACCCCTGCACCATAAGGGAGGCCCCCTCAGCTATTCTTCTTATACCACTTTTTAAGGTTTCCCTTATTTATCGACTGAAGGGGCATCTGAGTATTATATTTCAGCTTGGAGTTTTTACTACCAGGGCTCTGTCTTTTGCTTGTTAAAAACCAGGAACTCAAAATAGCAGTCCAGGAGATGGTTCAAATTACTTCCATATTTCATATAAGCTCTCAGTTTATGTTAAAGGTAATGTTGTTTTTCTGAACTGTTGGAAAGGAAGTTGAAACAGCTTTCAATTATTAGTAGACTAATATGTTAGAGTATAGTGGAAAGTTTTGGCTTTGGAGTTTGAACCCTGGCACTGCTTCTTGAGTGAATTACTCTATAATCATTTCACTCTTTCGAAGTTGTGAGGAATTGTTATATTTGAAAATCTGTAGCTGAAGTACAATATGCTAAATGTTTCAAATGACCTGTTTAAAAAAAATAAGGAATGTAAATCATTGAGAGATACTGATTTTTGATATTCAGGGTTTATTATTTCAAAACTTTCATCAGGAATGCATATTTTATTAATTTGGTGGTTCTTGTTTAAAAAAAAACAAAACTTTAAAACTGCCAGTGAAGAAAACTACAGCTGCCTGTCATATCACTTTGCAGAATATATCATATTCTTAAACTAGGATATGAAGGAAAGCGAATACAAATTCCTGAGCATATTTATTGATATACTTTAAGATATCTATTACCTTAAGTTGCTTATGCAGAAGAGTCCTTATTACTGTTATTTCATTTGAGCAATATTAGACTGTCAACCTGATGATCCATTCTCTGATAGAAGGGGTCTCAGTGAATAATTGCCAAAATTTAAGTGTTAGTGTCCTATATTCTTTAATGCATTAAATATGACTTAAATGAAAAAGTGAGATTATATTGTTATTTGAGAAAAAAAAATTATCTTTAGAACCAGTTATGCTTGATATAGGAAATCTAATTTCTGTTCTTCCACTTGAATTTTGTTTATCATTCAGCAAATAGTATTTGTCTTAGGACTTAATTTTTACATTAAAAAATCAAATTTTTAAAATTTTTGCTTAAAAATTTTTACTTTAAGGAATCCAATGGGTAAGACTCACAAACCTTTCATTCTCAAATAATAATAAATAATTACTGACAAATAATATTCATTAATTTCATTTAAACGGAATAAAATTATGTTTAAAGATTAATTTTAGAAGACAAGATTTTAAAATTATAAAAGAATTAGTCTTGTTCTAAAGTATTAAAGCCAGTTCTGCCCTTTTTCCAGTAGAGAGCAGCATGAACACATTTTTAGGACGGAGAGCATTTATTTAAAAACAAAAGTTAGATTTGGGGGGAAAAAAATCTATATAACTCAATATATATCCTTTTGTTTTGGTTAAATAATGCTAGACTAGAAATATTTGTAATCTTTTATTTTTGTTAATGTATAGTAAGTACTTATGTTTTAGGTACAGATTGTACAAGTTAAAGTTACCAGAAAGCAGCTTTCAGATTTCTACAGTATATTTTAATCTGAAATCATAAATCTAGAGGAAAGTTTTGATTTTGGAGATTCACTAAGATGAATTTGAATCCTGGCACTACTACATGAGTGAGTTACTCTAATCAATGTGCTCACTTAAAGAGGGAATAATGATATTTAATCTTATAAATTGTGAGATTTGGGATAATACGTGTTTTATTTATAATGCTTAAAACTTTTACATGTAAATGTTCTTAAACTGTTTTATATAAATTCATAAAATGAAATGTCCTCTTGGCTTCTTGAAATACCAAGATTAAAAAAATGTTTATGCCTTTGGAAAACAGGCTTAGTGTTGAGAAACAAATCCACATTCTCTCATTAAAAATAAGTTTAGTGCTATTTCTACTGCCCAAAAAAAAAAAAAAAGTAATTGGCAGCTATTCCATTTCAGAATATATACACTATTTTTTTTAATGGTTTTTTTTTTTAAAGATTTATTTATTTATACAAGCACTGGGTACAGTCAGAAGCACGGGAGGGTGAGAGAATTCACCAGAGCCAGAGCGGGGAGCAGAGCAGGCAGAAGGACCGAAGTACACTGCTGAGGGGAGCAGCGGGCGGCAGGAGAGGTCTGCGCGCCATGTGGGACCCTCCTCCGGTGGCCGGGGAGCAGCCGGGGATCGAATCAGCGCGGCAGAGGCTGCGGGCAGCTTCGCAACCCAGCGTTCAACCGCTGCGCCACCGGGGAGGCCCTATTTACACTATTTTTATGTTTTCAAGTTTCCTCCTGTAGATTAAAAGATAAGTCATCAATAGCTATGGCATATAAGCTAATATTATAAACATGTATTCTTAAGTTGAAGGTTTGATATAGGAAAATTATGAAATTTAAAAATTTTAAAATTATAAATTTTACTTTTCATATTTTACTTTTTCTTACTAACTACTGCTTTACTTACTTGCAATTTCTATCTGCAAAGTAAAACATAGTTTGATAAGTATACTGGTGTTTGAGCCACTTCTTCCTCAGGCTTGCCCCTTGCTCCCAGAGTGAAAGGGGAATGACTGGCTATGCATGAACTGTTTCCTCCCCCTTAGTTAGAAGTATATTTTTCTAATGCCAAATGTTAATTTAATTACACAAGTGTACATATATGGTAAATTTATGCATTTATATTAACTTTTTTATGAGACATAATTCATATAGTCTTTTCAGGTGTATGATGTGAAGACTTGAGATATATCTATATTGCAAAATGGTTACCATACTGAGTCGAGTTAACATCCATCACTAGACAGTTACAAGATTTTTTGTGTGTGATGAGAAATTATAAGATCTTGCATTTACTTTTAAATTTATATTTAAAATTAGTAAGAAATTTATATTTAAAATTAGTAAGAATAATACAGGTCCATTAATTTGCTTTTATGGTTAACAGAATCATTATACCTTGAATTTCTATTTTTCTCAATTAGGAAAAAAAGCTATGTAGAAATGTTTTACACTGAGAAAAGTAGGAGGTGGCAGATGGGTTTAGGTTCAGTATATTTTGCCACTCCAAGTACCTGACTATCTTTTTCTTTTGGATTGTGAACACTTAAGAAACAAGAATATTCCATTTCTTTATAAAATCCCATATCACTGACTATAGTGGGTGCTCAGGATAGAAAACATTTTTGACAGTTTAAATTCTAAAATAGAGTGCTAACATTGTTGTCCTTAAAACTAAACAAACAAACAAAAACAAATCAATAAAATCTTGCTTCCCTAGAACCTTATCCCACATTAAAGTGAATTGAATAAGGCATTGAATTCATGGGGGAGAAATGGAAATGTGATGTAATGTTGTTGTCCTCTAAGGATTTGGGGGAAATCTTTCTCTTTCAAATTTTATGGCATTTAATTATATACCTAAGAAAGGACTAGAAGTCTTCACTTGAGTTCAGTTGAGTTATAGACAATGCTATAGTCAAATGATTATTTTGTGGTAGGAGCAATTGAAGAAAATTGTGAAATATTTAAAAGTTGTTGATATATTATTTTTTAAATCTTATGTCAAGTATTTCTAAGAAATCCTAAAGGGAATTTGATAGATTTCTAGCAAAATCAGTCTTTTAGAGCAATTACAAACTGTTCTGTTTATTTTTGTGTCCTTTTATCCCTGAATTGTTATTTCATACTCAATTTCTGTGATGTAGATAATACAACCAATCAGCAAACATGTTCAAAGTTAAATTGATTTAAATATTTTTCATCTAATATGAGCATGTACTTTAAAAAAAGTTTTTTTTCCCCCTGTTAATGTAGATTACAGTTATTTAGCCAACATATGTTTGAGGTGCCTTTTTTTCAATAAGATATAATTTTAAATAGTTATTACTATTTTGAATGAGGATTGCTTAACTATGGAAATAATATGGTGAGATTTTAGGTAAATAAAATCTATAATTTGAAAGTGAAAGAATGTTCTTAGTGCTACCAAGTTTATAACTGCAGAGGCTATATTTGCCTTGAGTATTTCTGTGTCCAACTCCATTTTTATGTTCTAACACTAAAATATACATCTGCAGAGAATCAGATTTTAGCTTAACTTTTAAAGTAGGTTTTTTTGTATTGTTTCTATAGATTTCATGTATGGATTACATTTATTAAAAAATAAATTAAGGTAGTACTTAGGAGATATGTCATCAGTATTAGAAACTGAAAAGTCATCTGTGTGGGTATTAAAATCCTCATTTCTCATCTACAAATGAAAACCCATAAATCAAGACTACTGAAATTTCTGATGGTAGTGTTACCAATCTCCAAGGTGCTCATTTTAAACAACTGTCTAATTATTAATAGTAAAGCCTGTGATGAAACCCTTGCAATTAATTTGTTTTTTTTCCTACTCTTAATAGCTAAAAGGAAATTGATTAATTTCTTAGTGATAATTTTTTTTTCTATTTTTTGGACAGAGGTTCTAAAAGACTATATCAAGCCAAATGGGGAATGTTTGGAATTGTTTGCTCGAAACTTACAACCAGGCTGGACTAGTTGGGGCAATGAAGTTCTCAAATTTCAGCATGTGGATTATTTTATTGCTCTGGAATCTGGAAGCTGACTGATCTTAATGTAGTAATTTTCTTCTCCCTTCATTATAACTGCTTTTTCCTTTTATTACCAGCCAGTATATGTAGATATTTAAATAGGACATTTTTTTAGCAGAATGACCAGAAGTGACTAGCCTTCTTCTTGTTTTGAGATTGATTTTACTTTAGTTGCACTTGTATTCCATATTATTCTATTTAGACTTAATACAAATAAAGAGAAAGATGGCAAGATTGTATTAATGAAGAAATTCAGAAGGCATCCTGCCTATGGATTTTGGTTTTTGGTCTATAGTGGTTGTATGAAAGAAATTTTGAACCATCATTCTAAAAAAATTAGGAAATTCACGTATAAGTCCAGATTTCTATTTTACTTTAAATATCAGGGCTCTGGCTACATTGTAGCCTATGTTCTTTCCTGACATCAAATTGCAGTACTTTGGGATGGAGTTCACTTGGGAATGACTTTGCTCTCCAGTTTACCATAGTACCTTTTGTTTCATGCCACTTTCATTCTGGAAAAGTATTCAAAGATTTTTCCAAGTACTTTATCACTGTACGGAATCAATGAAAACATTTTTGAAGGGTTTTAAATTGTGGTTAGGGAAACTTGTCAAGTACTTCCTCATTTTTGTTTTTCTGCAAGAAAACTTAAAAGCCATTTCTTATAAAATGTCAGAAAATAAATACTTTGTGTTTGTGAAAATATTATTTATATTATTTACATGTTTTATGCAAATAAATATTTGTTTTCTAAGTAAAATATATTGAGTGAAATGATTCTATATAAGTATGCTGCTTGTATATAACCTAATTTTTTAATATTTTATTTCATATAATTCTTACATCATTTTTCATTTTGCAAAATGTATGCATTTTCATTTTGGTTATATTCCCCATACAATTGCACCCCCCCCCTTATTTTGACCCTAATCCTTCCTCTCCTTGGACCCCCACCCCGTTCCCCCCCCCCCCAGTGTGTCTCTGGTTTATAGTTGCTTGTTGATTTTGATTTTTACTTTGTATTAATTAGTCTTTTTCCTGGTCCCTAGTTTAGGTTTTCTAAATTCCTGCTATGAGTGAGACCATCTGGTATTTTTCTTTTTCTTTCTGACTTATTTCGCTGAGCATGATCCCTTCTAGCTCCATCCATGTTGCTGCAAACTGCATATGCTTATCTTTTTTGATTGCTGAGTAATATTCCATTGTATATATGTACCACATGTGGTATATAACCTTTTAAGAAATTTTGGAAGCAATCTTTCATGTATTAAAGTTATTTGACTTTGGGTTAGTTTTGAAAATATTTATATATTTGTCTGTATACCACATAATCATGATATAGAACATTTTCTTCACCCCCAGAACTTCTCATGTGTCCTTTCATATTCTCCCCTCTCTGGCTCTTGGTAAAAAATGATTTCCTTTCTATCATTAGTTTTAATTTTAGAATTTCATAAATGAAATCATATAGTATGTAATCTGTTGTGTCTGCTTCTTTCAGTTACATTTTAAGAAAAATATTTATAATATTTATACTATTTATAGTACAAACATTTATCTACTAAGTAAAATTAGATTGAAATGATTTTTTTGTAAAGCCTACTAATTTATTACTGATTTGCCAAAGAAAAACATTTTATTTTTAAAGTTTGTTCATTCTTTGAGTGTGTGAGCTTAGTATCAAAAGCTTAACTTGCTATTTATAGAGGTATTCTAACTTGTTATTTAAAAGGAAATTACATTAAACTGAAGTGAACTAATAATGTTGTTTGAAACTTTTTAGCTTCTTGAGGTATTCATAGATTTTGTATAGTTTGTGGATGCATTTTATTCTCACCAAGTTTTTAGACTTTTGCTTTGCATCGCATATACTGAACAGCAGACAAAAAGATTTTTTGTTTAATAAGTCTGATCTTCAAATCATGGGAGTCTTAGCTTTGCTCCTAAGTTGCACAGTCTCTGTATTTTTAATACTTACTTAGTTGTTGGGCTCTATTTTGAACAAAGGGTGATTCTGCAAAATAAAATGTGACACACCTTCCTAGTGCAAAGAGGTCAGAGTAAGAGAACTGAACTTTAACTTAATTACCACTGAGTTTTAGCCAACTGACCCAATGAACATTAATTTTATATCATATTTTCATTCAGAGATTTTTATATTACCTTATAATTTGTAAGAATGTTTTCTTTTCCTCCTGCTGTATTATTTTGTAGGCATAAGGACTTTTAGTACTCTTGGAAATGCTTGGGCAAAGAGATGGAACTAGTATTTGTTGACTTTGCTATGCTTTTTATGTATTTTATTGTATTTAATCTTTGTACCAGCCTGAGAGATTATCTCCATTTAATAGTCAAGAAAAGTGGGCCCAAGACTATTTTGACCAAAAGCATAAGTATTGAAGCTAGAATTAGCTTACATAACTCCATGATTCCAAACGCCGCTCTCTTTTCCATACAAGAACACGAAAAACCAGGCAATTGCTAAGAATTTCTATAGTGATATCATTGCAGTCTAGCCTATTCTCTCTAGCCTTGGAGTTTGGTTTGATTTGCACTTACCCAGAGGCCATGCAACCCCAATTGGCATTCTAGCAGCCCATACAAAAAGTCTCCTAGCCATCTCACTTTTACATGGTTAACAACTGATACCACTCAAGAAACTTTGAGGGTCTTCTAAGGTTATATTCTGAGACTTTATGGACTTTATTTTGACATTTCTCACATTCATTTAGAAACTTAAATGATTGTCTCAAGGTAGAGCATGGTACATGGAACTGGCTGAACTTAGACCCTTACCAGTGTCTTCTTTGCTGTAGTAGGGGTTGGGGAAAAGGAGTTTGCCCCTTTGACTGCTATGGCCATCCCAAAGCTAAACTCTGCCCCCCACCCAAGGCCAAACTCCTCACCCTAGTAGCTCTCTAGTAGAGTGCTAAAAAGGGAGAAATCGTCACTGGAGTACTCAATTTTCTTCCAAATTCTTCACCTCCTTAGCATAATTGCCAAGTGATTGCCTGCTGCACCTATTCAGATCTGGGAAGGGGGTGAGTTCAGCATCCATTTTTTTCCTTAATGCTACTTCAGAACCTTTGTTCCCTTTTTCATCTTGGTCCTCTTTTGGGACTAATACCATCTGTCTAGAATACCATTTGCACCATTCTAATTGTGATAGTGTGTGATCAAGGGGTCCCCAGGGACCCCAGACTTTTATGGAGTGCACACTCTAAAAGGAATTTGGCCATCTGCATGCACACAAAAGCAACAAAGCAGACTCTTATGTGAAAGATTTTTAATAGAAAGTGGTGTTTGTAGAGAGAGAAGAAAGGATTTCAAACAATTTCCAGTAGAGCTCCCCAAATTACCATCCCCTTGTGGGCAAATGCTCAGTCATACAGGCTTGACCTGAGTGGAACCATTGAAGTCTGAGAACTTGCCATAAGTCTAAGGTACCTACTGATGGGAAACCAAGGAAGGGAATGAGGCAGGTCTCAGAGAGATGACAGAAGAAAGACTCAAAATTCAAAATATACCACATCAAGATAACACTAACATTGTCTCTGCCAAGGACCAGGAGTAGCCTCTCCATATGTTCCTCACCCATGTGTCTCTTCAAATATCTCTGCCAAGTGTCTCTATATGTCTCTCATCCATAAGTTTCCTCCAAGCATTACAAGGGTGCAAGTCAGCTGAAACATCAAGAGATTGAGCTGCCTTCTGTATATAAGTCTGCCTGGCCACTCAACTCCACCTCTGGTTTCCAGTAGCTCCCCAGTTAAAGAAGTCCTGTTCATGGCATACTGGAACTTGTAGTCCAAGGTAGCTGCCTGTAAATGGGAGTGCAGAAAATGGCACCTCCTCTTCACAGAGGTGTATCTTTAATAATTGGATTTTTTATCGACCTACCTCTCCTCCACACTTGTTAAAAATATCTTCACAGTTCCCTACCTGCTCACTGCTGCAGGTTCTGCCTTTTCCCTGAATAGTGATTCTAATATATCAATATACTCATCCTCAAACACCAAGACTTACAATTAAAGTTGGTCTTACAGTTGACTATAGTATGAATTCACCTCCATTTTATTCTGTAAATATAGTGTGTTAAACTGAGTTTATAATTTATTCCTTCCAAACCTGCCACTATTCCTGAATTCTTAGTTTATAGTTACCTATCTTCCAAGTTTACCAAGTCAGAAATCAGAATTATTCTGAATCCATTCCTTTTCTGAGTATTCCTTACATAATCTTGTTACTGTAGATACCACTTCCTTAAAATTTCTTTAGACTTTCATGTTTATATTTGGCTTACCATTGCCTTAGTACAATTTTAATTTCCTTTCATGTGGATAACTGTCATCTATTTCTAACTGCTTTCTATTTTTAAAATGTAATTTTTTGAATCTATCCCCACATGCCAAAGTAATCTTCCTAAAACAAATCTGATCATCTCATTCCACTGATGAAATCCTTTTGTGACCCTACTAGCTCTCAGAATAGAAATCAGATTCATCCCATAATATAAAGGACTGTCCTTGTTATGACCTTGACTATTTCTATAATTCAGCTACTATATTCACTGTAAGGTCTATTTTGCTGTAGAAATTGAGTTCTCTAGATTGGTCTTTTACTCTATTTCTTTTCCATGCTCATTCCTATTAATATTTTGAAACCCATTTGAGTATTGACTTATGTATTTGTAAGTATATAATATCTTGATATTTAAAAAATGGGTTTTTGATCCAAGTTAGGGAAATCAGAGTCCTTGAGACTTTTCTTCTGGAAGAACTTACCTTTAATTTTGAATTTAATAATATGGCTGTGAATGCAGATATCTATATTAAATAACTCTAAGTTGTCTTGCTTAGTTTTGTATTTTCTCTTGATAAGAGAAAATCTTGATAAGAGTTTTCTTTAAGGAAGTGATACTACGATAGTAAAATAGATGTAAGATGAAACTGTTAGAACAATACATTAAAAATACATAACTTATATCATTAGGAGTTTACCATGTAAAACAAAAAGAGCCCATAGATTCAAATGTGCATTTTGATCTATTCATCCCAAGAGCTTGACAATATTCTCATGCTAAAAAAAGTTTATTGTATAAGATTAAAAAGCATATTTAGTTTTGATGATGTGTCTAAGTAAAAGCAGACTTACTTTTCCCAATTTAAGATACCTCCCATTTGCCTTTAGGTGTTTTTTACACCCACCACCCACCCACACACACACACCCCCCACACACACACATGCACGAACACACGTAACAGATATGTTTTGTGTAACTTTAATTGTAATACTATTTAAATAAACCCACAGAAATAGTAACATGTGAATGTTAGAAAAAACACAGCAGACAAAACAGAAAAAGAAAAAAATGTTAAATGTAGAAATTAATTAAATTTGCTTAATTAATCATATAAGAATTTAACAGAATGGTTTCTTGTTGTCTAGCCTTGCTTTAGGGACTGAGAGGGTTACATCTGGAATTTGCAATTTTATCATTGAGACAAGCAAGGCAGAAAAATTTAATAAACTTGCAGAGCGTATGTCATTCAGTGGTAACCTGAATAGTAATAGCAATAAGTACTTAATTTAAGATGAGAAATAAATGAAAAGTTTTTCAAAAGATGTGAAATGAGGAAGACTTGATTTTTTTCTGTGTGTTTTAATACCCTGTGGTAGGTTTTTAG